TTTTGCTGGATAGGATTAGTGAGCTCAAGGCTTCGCATAGGGAGATTATGGTTGAGTTGGTTATGGATGTGCTGAGGGCACTGTCAAGTCCGAATGTTGATATTAGGAGGAAGACTCTTGATATTGTGCTTGATTTGATTACGCCCAGGAATATTAATCAGGTTGTGATGATGTTGAAGAAGGAGGTCGTGAAGACTCAGAGTGGGGAGCTTGAGAAGAATGGGGAGTATAGGCAGATGTTAGTGCAAGCAATATATTCATGCGCAGTTAAGTTTCCTGAGGTGGCAAGCACGGTGGTGCATCCTCTGATGGATTTCTTGGGCGATTCCAATGTTGCTTCGGCCCTGGATGTGGCTGTTTTTGTGCGTGAGATTATTGAAACCAACCCCAAGCTGCGTGTTTCTATAATAACGAGGCTGCTAGATACTTTCTACCAGATCCGCAATTCGAGGGTTTGCACTCATTCCCTCTGGATTATCGGGGAGTATTGTCTCTCGCTTTCTGAAGTTGAGAGTGGGATTGCAACCATTAAGCAGTGTCTTGGGGAGCTCCCATTTTACACGGCTTCTGAGGAAAAAGAGGCACAAGATGCTACAAAGAATTCTCAGGTAGTAAGCTCGACCACTGTGTCTTCTAGGAGGCCTGTGATCCTTGCAGATGGGACCTATGCCACCCAGTCTGCTGCACTGGAAACTGCTATGTCTGCACCTGTCCTGGTTCAAGGATCTTTGGCTTCCGTGGGGAACTTGAGATCATTGATTCTCTCGGGTGATTTTTTCCTTGAGACAGTTGTAGCTTGCACATTAACGAAGCTTGTTTTGAGATTGGAAGAGATTCAGCCTTCAAAGGCTGAAGTGAACAAGGCAACTACACAGGCTTTGTTGATAATGGTCTCTATGCTTCAATTGGGTCAATCCTCGGTCCTTCCACATCCGATTGATAATGATTCTCGTGATAGAATTGTTCTTTGCATTCGGTTACTATGCCATAAAGGTGAAGAAGTAAGGAAGATATGGCTAGAGTCATGCAGACAGAGCTTTGTGAAAATGCTTGCAGATAAGCAGCTCCTTGAAACAGAGGAAACTAAAGCTAAAGCCCAGATATTGAGTGCACAACCAGATGACCTTATTGATTTCTACCATCTCAAGAGCAGAAAGGTAAGGCAGCATTAGGCTTTTCTTGTCTCAAGTCGGATAGACCGCTAAAACCATTGTTTTCATCACATAGTTTGGAACTTTGGATGCTTTTTTATATGTACAATTTTTTTTTCAGGGTATGAGCCAACTCGAGTTGGAAGATGCGGTTCAAGATGATCTCAAACGTGCTACTGGAGAATTCACAAAGGATAAAGATGATGCAAACAAACTCAACCGCATTCTTCAGCTAACAGGATTCAGTGATCCAGTTTATGCTGAAGCCTATGTAACAGTTAATCATTATGACATTGTTCTTGATGTTACCGTCATCAATCGAACTAAGGAGACCCTTCAGAATTTGTGCTTGGAGTTGGCCACAATGGGTGATCTCAAACTTGTTGAGCGTCCACAAAACTATACGCTAGCTCCGGAATCAAGCAAACAGATAAAGGCAAACATTAAGGTCTCTTCAACTGAAACGGGAGTTATATTTGGTAACATTGTATATGAGGCTTCTTCAAATGTGCTTGACAGATCGGTTATTGTTCTCAATGACATCCATATTGATATAATGGATTACATCTCTCCTGCATCATGTGCTGACGTGTCATTTAGGACAATGTGGGCTGAGTTTGAGTGGGAAAACAAGGTACACTGATTTGATATGGTTTTGCATTTTATTTTATTTTTAAATTTTTTGTGCTTCATTGATATGATCATTAGGTGCTTCTTCTTTGAAATGGTTTCACAATGACCCAAAAGGATATGATGCCTTTGAACCCGATTACATAATCATCAATTGTTCATGTAATTCCTAAGTTCACGAATGCCAATGTTCAGATAAGGCTTACAAGACATGCATTTATATGATGAACCTCTTCAGTGACATTTACTGGTTATGATTATGATGATGCTGTGCCAGTAATAAAGCTGTAATATAATAATTATGGTGATGGTTATTATGGTTATAATGATAGTTGTGAGCTTTCTAATGGAATAGATTCAATAGTATGTCAATGCCTCATGTTAGTGGATACATTGTGTGGTTGTTGCACCATAAATGATGCAAATTGGGTAATTTCTTTCATGTTAATCTAATTCTTGCTGGATAAAGGTGGCTCTTGCAGATGGTGCTGCTTCTGAATCATCCTTTGTTGTTAGCTCATGCATCATCTTTACTTATCTAGTGCTTGTGGACTTGTGTTTTCTTTTCTCACATCAAATGACAATGTGCTTCTTACATGTCCTTAATTATGATTCTTTTTTACAACTTGATAATATTTCCTTTCTGTGGACTTGTGTTTGGGTTCTCCTCCAAAAGCAAATGTGTATCTTATATGTCAGTTTAAAAATTATTTCTTGTCATCCTTATTGTAATTTTGCTCTTGGTAGATGCCTTTGCATTCTACCATGCATTAACGCACTCTTTTCCCCAGGTTGCTGTAAATACTGTTATTCAGGACGAAAAGGAATTTCTGAACCATGTTGTTAAAGCGACTAACATGAAGTGCCTGACTCCACCGTAAGTTTTGGGACTCTATTAACCATGTTTATCATTTACTCTGTTGCGTGTTGAAGAAATAAATTATTCTTTACATGATGCACAGAATTGTACATAGCTATTTACATGCAACCATACAAACATATACATATATATATAATTTCATACAACAATCATTTAAGAAGGTTACATAGTTGTCGATGGTAGTGCCATGTTGTCCACCTCTACAAATGTGCACACGACTTAAAAACTTAGCGACCATGTCACAATGTGAATAAAATACAGTTCAACTTTGACATTTTCAGTTGGTGCTTATACATCTAACATGCATATAAGAGTAAGTGTATTTTCTTTTTAGTCTCTTTACGCCTTCTGAGCGGATGATTGATGGTCATTAATTTCTGTTCATCCCTGGCTAATTGGGCATTAGATCGGCACTGGAAGGAGAGTGTGGAGTCCTCGCTGCAAATCTGTACGCAAAGAGTGTTTTCGGGGAGGACGCTTTGGTGAATGTGAGTGTTGAGAAACAAGCCGATGGTAAGCTAAGTGGATACATCAGAATTAGAAGCAAGACTCAAGGCATTGCCCTCAGTCTTGGGGACAAGATCACCTTGAAACAGAAGGGCGGCCTCTGATTGGACACAGCCTAATTTTGCAGCTGTTATTCTTGCTTCAACCTTTGTTAGTATTAATCTGCTTGCGGCATGAGGCCTATCTATATTCATCTCACTTGCTCTTTTCGTGTTTTTTCTGAGGATCGCGTTTGTTATAGATTCTTTTGCTTTTTGGCTTTTCCCAGTAAGAGGATGGTTAGGACATTTTGCTGCTATCCACAATATATTCAAAGTAATTTTGTAGTGATGCCCACCGTATACATTTCTGTTGTTAATTGTAACATTTCATGTTTTCAATTTGTATTAGCTGTTGCTATCAATAGCAAGTTTCGCCTGTCACATATTTTAATATCAAGTTTATGTACTCATTTTCTTTTATTAAGCTTTGTGTGAGTTGTCCAGATCATTCCTTCATCTTTTGCATTTGGCTTGGGGAAGTTTTACCTATGTCTGTCATATTGTTATTCTTTTATAGAAATTAGATTGATTCAGATATTTTCGGAAAATTAAATTAAATCTCCCTCCACATTGTTATGGTAGATTGGATATAAGATGTATTTTTTCAGCTTCGATACCTTAAGTTAGATACTTGAGTAACTTAAGAATTTGTCAACTTTGAGAAAAGAAATAAGTCGTATTACATTGTTGCACCAGTCTGTTATGTGTTTGCTCATCCTTATTATTCCAATTGAAACCATTACTCACTAATTCCATCAAATAAATAGTTCAACACAATACTGAGGAACGATTTTTACGATCCCATGCCCCAGTCGTCCAGGGGAGGTTGGGATGCTGCTAGATTCTCTTGTACAATATGGTGGTTAATTTAATCAAATCATTAAGGTGGCATGAGAAGGATTCGTCTCTAAATTGAGACGATTATAATTAATGACCCTTAATGAATCTATAAAATATTTCTAGTGACTTTTGTTTAATTTGCTCAACTAATTTGATGCGAGTCACGGATCAATGTTCTAAGTTTATGAACAAAATACTATATGTTTTGAAAAAAGAATAATGTTACACGTAACACATTTATTGATCAAATGTTTATCGAACTTAACAAATATGGTATAAATAATAATCATAATTAATTTGTGGGTAACATCAAAGTAAATTTCTCCCTTCCCGTTTGGCCTATGTAAGATTTTCCCTACGCTACGAAATCGGTTTGTAAAGGATGACCACAAGCTTTATATGCCAAAATATTTTTAGTGACTTTTATTTTTTTGAAGGGAAAGACAGAGACATTAGTTTAAATTATTTTAATTATCAAGCCATTTTCTTTATTTTAATAAAAAAATATACAATTAACTTCAAATCATTTGTATTGTTGCGAGCTTGCCTTTTATATTGTTACCTTTCTATTCCGTATTTTTATTATCAAGGCCTCACACTTGTTTTTATTTTCTTGTTGGGCCTTTGGGCCTGTCACTAATTCTTGAATCTTTATCCTGGTTCTCACTCTGTATGTTTCATGGTTTTTTTTAATGAAATATATTTTCTTCTCAAAAACCAGCGCTATGCCGTCGCGGGGCGATTTAAAACTCTCCAAATTGTAAACACCAAGATAAATTCAGCAGTAGTCACTTCCAATCTAAGCCAAAGCCAACACCAGACATCAAATCGGATCCACCACCACCAGAACAAACCCAGATCTCTTCTTCAGTTCTTCTCCTCCTTCTCATTTCTCTCATTTAGATCCGGCATTTCTGATTCCCTGAGATCCAATTCCGATTCGGATCGCCAATGATGGAGAAGTCATGCACTCTCCTCGTCCACTTCGACAAAGGCACACCAGCCCTAGCCAACGAGATTAAAGAAGCCCTTGAAGGAAACGACGTCGAATTGAAGATCGAAGCCCTCAAGAAGGCCATCATGCTCCTCCTCAACGGCGACACCATTCCCCAGCTCTTCATCACCATCATCCGATACGTACTGCCCTCCGAGGACCACACAGTCCAGAAGCTCCTCCTCCTCTACCTTGAGATCGTAGAGAAAACCGACTCCAAAGGCAAGATCCTCCCGGAGATGATCCTCATCTGCCAGAACCTCCGCAACAATCTTCAGCACCCGAACGAGTACATCCGAGGCGTTACGCTGCGATTTCTCTGCCGATTGAACGAGGCCGAGATAATCGAGCCTCTGATCCCTTCGATTCTCGCCAATTTGGAGCACCGCCACCCATTTGTTCGACGAAATGCCGTGATGGCGATCATGTTCGTGTATAGGCTTCCGCAGGGGGAGACGTTGCTAGATAGCGCGCCGGAGATCATCGATCGGTTCTTGGCCTCCGAGCAGGACCCTTCCAGTAAGCGAAATGCTTTCCTTATGCTCTTTAATTGCGCGCAAGATAGGGCTGTGCATTATTTGTTTACACATATCGGTAGGATTATTGAGTGGGGTGAACAGCTCCAAATGGTCGTCTTGGAATTGATTAAGAAGGTGTGTAGAGTGAATAAGGGTGAGAAATCCAAGTACATTAAGATTATTATATCACTGCTGGATGCACCGTCGAGTGCCGTTGTTTATGAGTGCGCTGGAACGCTTGTGTCGTTGTCTTCGGCGCCTACAGCCATAAAAGCAGCTGCCAACACTTATTCTCAGTTGTTGTTGTCGCAGAGCGATAACAATGTGAAGTTGATTTTGCTGGATAGGATTAGTGAGCTCAAGGCTTCGCATAGGGAGATTATGATTGAGTTGGTTATGGATGTGCTGAGGGCACTGTCAAGTCCGAATGTTGATATTAGGAGGAAGACTCTTGATATTGTGCTTGATTTGATTACGCCCAGGAATATTAATCAGGTTGTGATGATGTTGAAGAAGGAGGTCGTGAAGACTCAGAGTGGGGAGCTTGAGAAGAATGGGGAGTATAGGCAGATGTTAGTGCAAGCAATATATTCATGCGCAGTTAAGTTTCCTGAGGTGGCAAGCACAGTGGTGCATCCTTTGATGGATTTCTTGGGTGATACCAATGTTGCTTCGGCCCTGGATGTGGCCGTTTTTGTGCGTGAGATTATTGAAACCAACCCCAAGCTGCGTGTTTCTATAATAACGAGGCTGCTAGATACTTTCTACCAGATCCGCAATTCGAGGGTTTGCACTCATTCCCTCTGGATTATCGGGGAGTATTGTCTCTCGCTTTCTGAAGTTGAGAGTGGGATTGCAACCATTAAGCAATGTCTTGGGGAGCTCCCATTTTACACAGCTTCTGAGGAAAAAGAGGCACAAGATGCTACGAAGAATTCTCAGGTGGTAAGCTCGACCACTGTGTCTTCTAGGAGGCCTGTGATCCTTGCAGATGGGACCTATGCCACCCAGTCTGCTGCACTGGAAACTGCTATGTCTGCACCTGTCCTGGTTCAAGGATCTTTGGCTTCCGTGGGGAACTTGAGATCATTGATTCTCTCGGGTGATTTTTTCCTTGAGACAGTTGTAGCTTGCACATTAACAAAGCTGGTTTTGAGATTGGAAGAGATTCAGCCTTCAAAGGCTGAAGTGAACAAGGCAACTACACAGGCATTGTTGATCATGGTCTCTATGCTTCAATTGGGTCAATCCTCGGTCCTTCCGCATCCAATTGATAATGATTCTCGAGATAGAATAGTTCTTTGCATCAGGTTACTATGCCATAAAGGTGAAGAAGTAAGGAAGATATGGCTAGAGTCATGCAGACAGAGCTTTGTGAAAATGCTTGCAGACAAGCAGCTCCTCGAAACAGAGGAAACTAAAGCTAAAGCTCAGATATTGAGTGCTCAACCAGACGACCTTATTGATTTCTACCACCTTAAGAGCAGAAAGGTAAGGTAGCTTAGGCTTTTCTTGTCTCAATTTGGATAGATTGCTAAAACCATTGTTTTCTCCATGTAGTTTGGATGCTTTTTTTATATGTACACAATTTTTTTTTTTTCAGGGTTTGAGCCAGCTCGAGTTGGAAGATGCGGTTCAAGATGATCTCAAACGTGCTACTGGAGAATTCACAAAGGATAGAGATGATGCAAACAAACTCAACCGCATTCTTCAGCTCACAGGATTCAGTGATCCTGTTTATGCTGAAGCCTATGTAACAGTTAATCATTATGACATTGTTCTTGATGTTACCGTCATCAATCGAACCAAAGAAACCCTTCAGAATTTGTGCTTGGAGTTGGCCACAATGGGTGATCTCAAACTTGTTGAGCGTCCACAAAACTATACGCTAGCTCCGGAATCAAGCAAACAGATAAAGGCTAACATCAAGGTCTCTTCAACTGAAACGGGAGTTATATTCGGTAACATTGTATACGAGACTTCTTCAAATGTGCTTGAGAGAACAGTTATTGTTCTCAATGACATTCATATTGATATAATGGATTACATCTCTCCTGCATCATGTGCTGACGTGTCATTTAGGACGATGTGGGCTGAGTTTGAGTGGGAGAACAAGGTACAGTAATTTGATATGGTTTTGCATTTTATTTTTATTTTTAATTCTTTTGTGTGCTTCATTGATATGATCATTAGGTGCGTCTTCTTTGAAATGGTTTCACAATGACCCAAAAGGATATGATGTCTTTGAACCCAATTACGTTATCATCAATTGATCATGTAATGCTTATGTTCACGAATGCCAATGTTCAGATATGGCTTACAAGACATGCATTTATATGATGAACCTCTTCATTGATATTTAATTGTTTGATGTTTCTGGTTATGATTATGATGATGCTGTGCCGGTAATAAAGCTGTAGTATAATAATTATGGTGGCTGTTATTATGGTTATAATGATAGTTGTGAGTTTTATAATGGCATAGATTCAGTAGTATATCAGTGGCCTCATGCTAGTGGATACGTTGTGTGGTTGTTGCACCATACATGATGCAACTTGGGTAATTGCTTTCATGTTATCTAATTACTGCTGGATAAAGGAGGCTCTTGTAGATGGTGTTGGTTCTGAATCATCCTTGGGTGTTAGCTCATGCATCATCTTTACATATCTAATGCTTGTGGACCTGTGTTTTCTTTCTCACATCAAATGACAATGTGAATCTTAGATGTCCTTAATTATGATTTATTTTTTATAACTTGATAATATTTCCTTACTGTGGACTTTTGTTTGGGTTCTCATCCACAAGCAATGTGTATCTTATATGTCAGTTTACAATTTCTTTCTTGCCACCCCTGCTCTTCCTTGGTAGATGCATTTGGATTCTACTATGCATTAACACACTCTTTTCCCCAGGTTGCTGTAAATACTGTTATTCAGGACGAGAAGGAATTTCTGAACCATGTTGTTAAAGCGACTAACATGAAGTGCCTGACTACACCGTAAGTTTTGGGACTCTATTAACCATGTTTATTATACACAGAATCACAGAATCACAGAATCATACATATCTATTTACATGCAAGCATACAAACATATACATATACATATATATATACATATGATATAATTTTCTACAACAATCATTTAAGAAGTTGACATAGTTGTCAATGGTAGTGCCATGTTGGTCACCTTTACAAGTGTGATACGTTACCAGTGCTTGGTAGAATGCACCTAATTGATGGAAGTGGAGTAGCGTAGCACACGTGACGTAAAAACTTAGCCACCATGTCATAATGTAAACAAAATACAGTTCAATATTGACATTTTCCATAGGTGCATAAATACTTGTAACATGCATATAGGAGCAAGTGTATTTTCTTTTTAATCTCTTTACGCCTTCTGGGTGGATGATTGATGGTCATTAATTCCTGCTCATCCCTGGCTAATTGGGCATTAGATTGGCACTGGAAGGAGAATGTGGAGTTCTCGCTGCCAATCTGTACGCAAAGAGTGTTTTCGGGGAGGATGCTTTGGTGAATGTGAGTGTTGAGAAACAAGCAGATGGTAAGCTCAGTGGATACATCAGAATTAGAAGCAAGACTCAAGGCATTGCCCTCAGTCTTGGGGACAAGATCACCTTGAAACAGAAGGGCGGCCTCTGACACCAAGCCTAATTTTGCAGCTGTTATTCTTTGCTTGAACCCTTGTTAGTACTAGTCTGCTTGCAGCATGAGGCCTATCTATATTCATCTCACTTGCACTTAATTTTTGTGCTTTTACCGGGGATCGCATCCGTTATAGAATTCTTTTGATTTTTTCTTTTTCCCAGTAAGTGGATAGTTAGGACATATTGCTCCTATCCACAATATATTCAGAGTAAATTTGTAGTGATGCCCACTGTATACATTTCTTCTGTCAATTGTAACATTTCATGTTTTCAATTTGTATTAGCTGTTGCCATTAATACCCCTAGCAAGTTTCGCCTGTCACATAATTTTAATATCAAGTTTATCGACTCATTTTCTTTTATTAAGCTTTGTGTTAGATATTTCTATCAATTGATATTTCCCTGGACCGTCATTATTTTAATAGATTTATTAATGATGACCACACAAAATTTGATGGGCCAAAATTCAGACACCATTGCGATTCTAGGAGTTTGATTTTCTGATTAATTTTTCGATTCCCAATAGACAATTACTTCAAGAAACCAAAAAAATAAATCAAAAAATAAACTGTTCATAACCTTCATCATCCTAAAACTTATATTAATGATATTCTAACAAAATTTAGGGGACTTTTGGGAAGTTAATTATGGGCAAACAATTTGTGTACGAAGCGACTAAATAGCTATTTGATAAAAATAAAATTAAAACGATTTAAGAAATTAATAGTACCAAAAAAGAAAAAGCTATTGAAACAAAAATAAATTTAAAAATAGATAAAGTGAAATTAGCAAACATGTTTAAAATATTCGATAAATTGTTAATAGGGATAGGCTCTCAAAGTAAAAATTACTATTAAAAAAAGAAAAAAAAACAGAAAAAAGAAAAAAGAAGAAGAAAAATAACCTACCCCACCCTAACCCTTCCTCGACCATCCCCAGAACGCAGCCCCTCCATTTTCCTCACCCAGCACAAATCCTCAATGACTTGATGGCCTAACAAAGAGGCTGACAAAAACCCTTCGACGACGGCTAGCTCCTTCTCCTTCTCTGGACTTCCGTTGAGCAGCTGTTGCGCAACTTTAAGGGGTAGGGACCTTCAAGCCCATTTTCATGGCTGCCATTGACCCCATGGTGGCTCCGCCAGTGGCAATGGCATAAACCCTTGAGTAAAATCCACAAAATCCAGAGACCCAAAACAACTAATTACATGCATTTTCCTATGGATCTTAGAAGGCTTTCAATCTCGAAACCCACTCTTCTCTTCCGCATCAACCGCCCCTTAACGTGCGTTACCTGCAACCTCCAACGCCCCAAAGAGCCTCCTCAACCGCCACCATTACAGGTTCCGAAGGAACCACAGCCTCCCAATCAGAGTTTGCACAACTGGGTATCTTCTATTCTTTCAAAACCATCTCTGGATTCTTCTAAATGTAAAGCTCTGATACCCCTTTTGTCATCTCAAGAATTTGATAGGGTATTCTGTTCCATTAGCTCCAATGTGAACCCCAAAACAGCTCTTCATTTCTTTTACTTTGCTTCTGAATCTTTTAAGTTTCAGTTTACTGTACGATCCTTTTGTGTTTTAGTTCGTCTGCTTATTCTTTCGAATCTTGTATCGCCTGCGAGATTGCTTTTGATCCGTTTGATTGATGGGAATGTGCCAGTTTTATATGCTAACCACAATCAAAGGCATATGGAGATTGCCATTGCCATGTTAGACTTGAATACCGTGTCCACACAAGGTCTTGGGGTTCAGGCATTGGATTTGTTGATTCATGTTTACTGTACGCAATTCAAGAATATGGGTTTTGGTTATGCCATTGATGTGTTTGTAATTTTTTCTAAAAAGGGTGTTTTTCCATCATTGAAGACTTGTAACTTTTTGTTGAGTTCTTTAGTGAAGGCTAACGAGCTTCATAAGAGTTATGATGTATTTGAAGTTATGTGCCGAGGTGTTTCTCCTGATGTTTACTTGTTTACTACCGCGATTAATGCATTTTGTAAGGGAGGGAAGGTTGATGATGCAATAGGTTTGTTTTCGAAAATGGAGGGGCTGGGTATTGTCCCAAATGTGGTTACGTACAATAATATTATTCATGGGCTCTGTAAGAGCAGAAGATTAGTAGAGGCCTTCCAGTTTAAAAAGAAGATGATAGAAAACAATGTGAGCCCGAGTCTTATAACATATAGTGTGCTCATTAATGGTTTGATAAAGCTGGAGAAGTTTCATGATGCAAATTGTGTTTTGAAGGAAATGTGCAACAGAGGATTTGTCCCGAACGAGGTTGTCTATAACACATTGATTGATGGATATTGTAAAACAGGAAATATTAGTGAGGCACTAAAGATAAGGGATAATATGTTATCCAATGGGTTAACTCCCAATTCTGTTACTCTTAATTCTCTACTGCAGGGGTTTTGTAGAAGTGATCAATTTGATCATGCTGAGCAAGTTTTAGACAAGATTTTCTCTGGTGGTTTATCCATAAACCAAGCTGTTTGTTTCTCGGTTATTCACTGGTTATGCATGAAGTCTAGGTTTGATTCTGCACTAAAATTCACTACCGAAATGCTATTAAGAAACTTTAGGCCCAGTGATAGCTTGCTTACAACATTGGTTGGTGGGCTCTGTAAAGATGGAAAGCATTCTGAGGCACTTGGGCTTTGGTTTAGGCTATGGGAGAAAGGAGTTGCAGCCAACACAGCGACCTCAAATGCTCTAATTCATGGACTTTGTGAATCTCGTAGCATGCAAGAGGTTGTTATGCTACTCAAACCGATGCTAGAAAGAGGTTTGGTATTGGATAGAATCTCATACAACACACTTATCTTGGGTTGTTGCAAGGAGGGAAAAGTGGAGGAAGGTTTTAAGCTTAAGGAAGAGATGGCTAAACAAGGAATTGAACCAGATACTTATACTTATAATTTGCTAATGCATGGCCTATGCAATATGGGAAAAGTGGATGATGCGATTAAACTTTGGGATGAGTGTGAAAATCGTGGTCTTGTTCCCAATGTCTATACATATGGGGTGATGATAGATGGGTTTTGTCAAGCTGGAAGAATGAAAGAGGGTGAAAATCTCTTCAGTAAGTTGGTGAATAAGGAAGTGGAACTAAATTCAGTTGTTTATAATACACTAATCAGAGCATACTGCACAGGTGGGAATATGACTGCAGCCCTTGGTCTTCGTTGTGACATGAAAAAGAAGGGCATTCAACCATCTTGTGGCACATATTCTTCTCTTATACATGGACTCTGCAATATTGGCGATGTTGAGGATGCAAAATGCCTTCTGGATGAAATGAGGAAGGATGGTTTGTTGCCAAATGTTGTTTGTTACACTGCACTGATTCATGGTTATTGTAAGCTAGGCCAAATGGATAAAGTAAGGAGTGCCTTTCTGGAGATGTCTTCAGATAACATACAACCTAATAAGATTACCTACACTGTCATGATTGATGGGTATTCTAAACTGGGCAATATGGAAGAAGCAACTAAACTTCTATGCGAGATGGCAAAAATGGGAATTGCCCCAGATGCCGTTACCTATAATGCCTTAACAAATGGATTTTGCAAAGAAAGGATGGTGGAAGAAGCTTTTGAAGTATGTGATCATATGTCCAGTAAAGGTGTAGGTTTAGATGAGATTACACATACAACATTGGTTCATGGGTTGCATCAGCCCACTACATGTGCAAATCAGGAATGATATGGAAACATTCAAAAGGTTAGGTGTTTACTTTCTGCATGAAGAATTCTTATTTTAAAAAAGTTATCATATTTAATTCGCGCATCTTGTTCTGAAGTAATATGGTTAATGTGCAGGTGCATATTCTTATTCTTAATACTGCTGACTGTAGACCATGGGATACATGTTACATCTCCTTACCATCTCCAAATGATCCTTGAACATGGGAGGTTGGTAGATCTGTACAGAATTCATTTTTTGCATCATATTTGTTTGAAGATTGTTTCATTACTTGTAATTCAATTGCTTTTAGGAGTTTATAGTTATTGCTGGGTTAGGATGAAAATAATTAGTTCATAATTGTTGCTTTTCTTTTGGGTCTGAGCATAATTGTTTCTTTTACCATGTCATTTTTTCATCTTGTTCTTTTAGCAACATCTTGTTTTGGTGAACTCATTTATGATTTTCACTGTGCCATGTACTTATGGAGTGTCATCCGTTAGCAGTTTAATAAGTTATGTCAAGTTGTATTCACTTGAATATAATGACAAATTTCCATTATATGTTGTAAGATTGAAATTCTCTTTGTATGTGGCTCCTATTAGCTCCTATCAGCTCCTATGTCAAGTCTGTCTGATGAATCAACTTTTAAGTCCATTTCCTCTCATTAATAGTACTATTATTGTAACTTGACGTAGAGTTGTTGGGCCTTTGCATAGGTGGTAACTGTGTTGAGCTGGGGGCACCTATGATATAATTACCATCTGTTTACAAATCAGGGTTGTCTGATTCTTAAGTATCTTTGTTAGAAAATAAAATTGGATTAAGGTGGATAGCATATATGCTATTTCTTTTGGTTAAGGAATCTAAGGCTTGTTTGACTTGATTCTGGAAGGTTTTCACATTGTCGTCCTTTATGATAGTTATGTACACATATTCGTCTCCCTTATTGCCCTCTTAAGTAAACCAATTGGTACTAAAGCTAAAAGCAGTTATGGTGTGGTGTCAAAGAGAGCAAAATTTAAATTTCTACGGATATTTCAGACTTTTCTTCTTGAAGCCCTTATTGTGATTACAAACTGGAACTACTGTTTTAGAACATGCTGAGAAAAGAGCCTTAATATAATTGTAATGGTTTTGTAGACTGGAATCCCTTACCTGTCTTTTGTATCTCTCTGTCACGTAATTTCACCAAACTTTTATTGCTCTTTCTAGCCCATGGTTGTGGGCTGATCAACATCTCGAGGGGATCATAAATGGAGATTCAAAATGTATAAAAATTGCGGAACTACTATTTTTAGTTCATACTGGTTTCTAATAATGGAATCTTTGGCATCTTTACTTTGCCAACTTCAGCTCTATTTTTTTCAATGTTTCTGTACTTCTTTGATACAAAATCTTAGTAGTCTTGACTTTAATACACGCTGACATATTGAAGAGTGCAATGAGACAATGAAATATTTAGCTGGTGATGAAATGTGTTCCTTGAAAGGGAAAAAGGAAAACATATCTCTGTTAATCACAACAAACCCTAAGGATTTCATAGGAACTATGAAGTCAAAGGCTAACCATTCTAAGAAACAAAAGTAAAGCCTCTGATTTGTAGTCTTGGCCTTTATGGCTTTTGATCACTAGTTGTGAGTCATGACTAATGACCCTTGGCATCCCTCAGAAAAATTACACTTGTGAGCTCACTTCTATCATTATCTTCCCTGCCCCCATCCCCCTAAATAGAATACAGAAACGTAAAACCTTAAATTAAGAAACTGCTAAAGTATCATTGAATAGTGTGGCTATAGTAATTTTATGTAGATATCCTTTATTTTCTATCTAAAATGTTCTATTGCATTAGTATTCATCGTGAGGTTGTCCTAACTCTTTACATTAGAGGATCTATATTAATAACTTCTTACAAACTTTTATGCTTGTCACCAGTTGCAACCTGTAAGTATTTGAGTTTGGAACTGGCTTTGTTTGAAGAAAAAATTGAAAATTAGACACCAGCCATCTCAGATTTAAATCGTGTTCACTCTGTTGATGAGGCACATAGCTCGCTGATATGGCCTTAAGGAAATGTTTGAAACATCAAGATATGGCAGAATCCCAGGTATTGCACTCAAGATTTATTGCAACAACTGTTTTTGTTTTTTCTTGGGCGAAGATTTACTGCAACAAATGTTTTTTTGCATTCCCTCTTGATATAATGTGGTTCATGAAGGCTAGATAACTTGTTCTGAAGGTATGCTAAAAGTGTACATATGAAAGAATAAACAAAAATTTACTATGCAAAAAATTATGTGTTGCATACAGGGGAAGGGACATTTTATTTGATAACCTTGGGCATTCAAACCCTGGCTTTAGAATTTTTTTAAAATAATGAGCTTGTTTTTTCCTATTGTGCACAATTATTCCTATGAGTCCCACTTGGGATACCTTTGACTCAGAAATCTTTCAGTTGGTGATTTGAAGCAGTATAGGTTATCAAAGGTTAGAAGTGTAGTTTTGGAATTGTTAGAATTGAGATTTCAACCCCTTTTTATATTTAAGTTCTCTCTCTCTCCTTTTTCTTTTATTCTTTTCTTCAGAGTGTAGGAATTGGATACCATCCAATCAGAGATTAGATATCCTGGATGATGGTAAGTTTGACCTTTTAGAAGCGGCATCAATCTTTACAGACAAAACAATCTCAGTTTTACTTATGTTCCATTTTGATGGACAAATTTAAAACGGTAGGTTTGTAACAGTGTTTACATCACCAAGAAACATTAAATGCAATACAATCGTTTTTTTATAAAAAAATTAAGTACAATTTATGTTAAACTAAATTCAGATGGAATCTTATGAATTTGAATGTTGAAATGACTAGACAGAGAGAATCATTTGAAATTTATGTCTTCTACTTCTCTTTACACAAATCCAAACTTTTACGTGAAAACTTAGCCACCATGTCATAATGTAAACAAAATACAGTTCAATATTGGCATTTTCCATAGGTGCATAAATACGTGTAACATGCATATAGGAGTAAGTGTATTTTCTTTTAAAAATCTTTACGCCTTCTGGGCGGATGATTGATGGTCATTAATTCCTGCTCATCCCTGGCTAATTGGGCATTAGATCGACACTGGAAGGAGAATGTGGAGTCCTTGCTGCCAATCTGTACCCAAAGAGTGTTTTAGGGGAGGATACTTTGGTGAATGTGAGCTTTGAGAAACAAGCAGATGGTAAGCTCAGTGGATACATCAGAATTAGAAGCAAGACTCGAGGCATTGTCCTTCAGTCTTGGGGACAAGATCACCTTGAAACAGAAGGGCGGCCTCTGATTGGACAAGCAGCCTAATTTTGCTGCTGTTATTCTTGCTTGAACCTTTGTTAGTGCTAGTTTGCTTGCAGCATGACGCCTATCTATATTCATCTGACTTGCACTTAATTTTCGTGTTTTTACCGAGGATTGCCTCTGTTATAGAATTCTTTTGCTTTTTTGTTTTTCCCAGTAAGTGGATAGTTAGAGCATCCACAGTGGGAGGGTGTATAATAAGGTGTGCTAAATATACACTCTTTGTAATCGGAATCACCCACAATGGAGAGGTGTAAACGAGTGTAAATTTGCATCACCACCATGAGATGCAAATTTAGATACATATATACATCACATTTCTTACAGGTGGGACCTACACGAGAACATGTGAGAAAAAGTGGAGCAAAAATCACATTTACATCCCCTGGAGGTGTAAGGGGGATGTAAAAGTGGCTATACACCCCCGAAATTACACCCTCCTACTGTGGATGCTCTTAGGACATATTACTGCTATCCACAATATATTCAAAGTAAATTTGTAGTGATGCCCACTGTATACATTTCTGTTGTTAATTGTAACATTTCATGTTTTCAATTTGTATTTGCTGTTGCTATCAATGCCCCCAGCAAGTTTCGCCTGTCACATATTTTAATATCAAGTTTATCGATTCATTTTCTTTTATTAAGCTTTGTGTTAGATATTGCTATTCATTATTTTAATAGATTTATTAATGACCACACAAAATTTGATGGGCCGAAAGTTCAGACACCATTGCATTTCTAGAGTTTGATTTTCGGATTAAATTTTCGATCCCATGTGATTTGCTCTTCAGCCACAACCCCCTACCTACCCAACCTAAACAGTCTTTAGGAGGTTGGAGGAACTTCATCAAACTCACACAAACGAGAAGTAAAATGAAAAACTAATCGAGGGCATTGTTGGAAATCTAAATAACTTTTCATTCATAATAATATTGTACAAATCAAACATGGAAATTGGTAAAAATGATTTTTCCTCTGGTTCTCATTTACCGGTGTTCTCAAATATGGGAATGAACATCCTCTATTTTCATCTTATGAGATTAGACATGAGAATTTCAATTCAAGGAAGTTCAATCTGCAAACTAAACGGGAGCTTTCTAAGTGAGGGTTTAGGCTGGATTTTTTGTAAAAGACAGCAGAGATTAGCGAGCTTCCTAAGGTTTACTGACCAAAAAGAAAAACATTAGTGAGCTTCCTTGCCCATTGCTACAACATTGTTTTGTTCCCCCTTCCGGAATAAAGGTGAAGTGAAGGTGGGCGCACGCATAATCTCAATAATTGACCTCATAGTATCTTAAAAGCAAGAAACACCCAGCAGTCTAGTTACGCAAAAGAAACAATTACTTCAAGAAACCAAAAAAATAAATCACAAAATAAACTGTTCATAACCTTCATCATCCTAAAACTTATATTAATGATGTTCTAACAAAATTTGGAGGACTTTTGGGAAGTTAATTATGGGCAAACAATTTATGGACAGCGCCCTAAATCTTTCTTTTGCATACAAGAATTTGTGTACGAAACGACTAAAGTTTCAGAATTCCACACAAGTTAGAAGAGATAGTCTGATTGTTTTGAAGTAAGTATCTGTACATTTTATATGTATGTATATAATTTGGTGGTTGGGGTCCCTTAGTCGTTTCAGAATTCCACACAAGTTAGAAGAGATAGTCTGATTGTTTTGAAGTAAGTATCTGTACATTTTATATGTATGTATATAATTTGGTGGTTGGGGTCCCTAATAGGTTATGTTTGTTTGTTTGTAAGTAAGTATTAGAACCAAGGAAATTCAGTACATGGTAGTTGAGGCTTATGTGGTGTTTATCTTGCAAGTGAGGGTTGGTTTGAATATGGTTATTCTCTTTATCTGATTTGGTAAGTTTGGTGGAAAGTAAATGAGTAGTGTAGAAGAAACCATGACAGAATTTTTTACTGCACTCTTCTAAATTCTTGGTGCACTATAAAGGTTCGGTCAATTGTTGGGGATTCTGAGAAAGATAGATAGATAGATACTTCTTTTGGCAATGGCTGATGTTGAAAGTTTTGAGAAACTCAAAGCTACCCAGCAATTGTTAAAGGCTAGTCTACAGAAATCTACAGCTCTTTCTTCAGCTATTGATGAAACTGGGTCTAGGTTGGAAGGCATGAAGCAGAGATTGCCATCTTTGGAAGCTGCAATGAGGCCCATCACCATGCAAAGATGTGGATATTCTGCAATTAGGGACCAAATCAATGGTGCCATTGGCCCTGCTGCTGCTGTTCTCAAAGCCTATGATGTCGTTCGAGAGCTTGAGAAGTCACTCTCTTTTGCATCATGTTCTGATCTTCCTGCTTATCTTTCAGCCACCAAACGGCTTGAAGAAGCATTGAGGTTTCTTGCTGACAACTGTGAGCTGGCAACTCAGTGGCTGCAGGACATTGTTGAGTTTTTGGAAGGCAGTGCATTTGCCAATGATCGAAGCCTTTTGAGTGTGAAGAAAGCTCTCAGAATTCTACAGGAGTTGCATGCAATCGAGGGTTCAGCTCGTCGTGACGGAGGGCTTCTCAACGAGGCATTCAACGAACTTGAAGCTGAATTCATAATTTCATTAATGGAAAGCAGTGCTACTACGATCACCAGCATTGCTTCATCACCATTATCAGTGCTTGTAATTCAAAAGCTTCAAGCCATAGTTGAGAGATTGAATGCTGCTGATCGGCTTGAAAAGTGCATATTCGTGTACGCTGAAGCTCGGAGTTTGAGTGCTAGAAGAAGCTTGCAGGCTCTTGATCTGGACTACCTTGAGATAGAAATCACAGAGCTTGTTGATAGGCAGAGCATTGACTCCTGCATTGACCAATGGGGGAAGCATTTGGAGTTGGTTGTGAAGCATCTGCTTGAGCTTGAGTACAAACTCTGCAACAATGTCTTTGAGAAGGTAGGATCAGATGCTTGGAAGTGCTGCTTTGCAAGAATTTCTCAAGAGTTTAGACTTGCTTCATTCCTCCAATTTGGAACTAATGTCACCAAGATGAAGAAGGACCCCATCAAGCTCTTGAAGCTATTAGATATATTTACAGTTATGGAAAATCTAAGATTGAATTTTAACAGGCTCTTTGGTGGGAAGGCCTGCGATGAAATTCAAACCCTGACAAGGGATTTAATCAAGAGAGTTGTTATTGGGGCTTGTGAGATTTTATGGGAACTTCCTAGCCAAGTGGAGTTGCAAAGGAGATTTTCTCCTCCTTCGGATGGTGGCGTTCCCGGGCTAGTAAGCTTTATAACTAATTACTATAATAAACTGCTAGGAGATGATTATAGGCCAAGCTTGATCCAGGTCTTGCAGATCCATCAAAGCTGGAAACAAGATGTGTATGATGATGGTGATGATGATGCTCTTTCCCATCAGATTTATAGTACCATGAAGGAAGTTGGGCTAAATTTAGATGCATGGTCCAAGGCCTATGAGGACATCTCCCTCTCCTACCTTTTCATGATGAACAATCACTGCCATTTCAGCCAAATGAAAGGCACACATCTTGGGGATATAATGGGAGATTCTTGGTTAGAAGCTCATGAGAAATACAAGGACTATTATGCAGCTCTCTACTTGAGAGAGAGCTGGGGAAAGCTTCTGCCTCTTCTAAGCCAAAAGGGTTTAATTTCATTTCCTTTTGATCACCAGGATTTTGATAACAAGCTGCTCAAGGCATTCAATGAAGCTTTTGATGAAAGGTACAAGAAGCACTCCAATTGGGTCATATCTGACGAAGGCTTAAGGCAGAAGGTATGCCAACTTTTGGTGCAGGCAGTTGTACCTGTTTACAGGAGCTACATGCACAAGTATGGGGTTTTTGTTGAACAAGATGCAAGTGGTAGCAAGTATATTAAACACACTGCACAAAGCTTGGAGAAGATGCTGAGCTCCCTGTTTCAGCCCAAGATTGGCAAGTATTCCAGCACCAAACATATACGTTTTATTGGTAAACTGAAGAACGTCGTGATGAATCAGCTACATGTATCTCTCACGGCAATGTGACTTCATAGAAAGAGTAATGCTAGAAGGATCACATTTTTAGATTGTAGGATCATACATCTAATAGAGGCCAGAGCCGTCTAAACAAGCAGGTCCCGAACTGATATAGTCTGTAATGTGATACAAATAGTGTTGAGGGTAAAAACTAGTTAGCCCTTTGTTGATGTAGTATTCAGTTTGTATAGATTTAGACCTGTGTTCATGTAGGATTCAGTTTGTATAGATTTACACCTACTGATTACTTACTATGTATTTATTTCAATGATTATTTGTGGATTTCCTTTTAATTTTTTATATAGAGAAAATTAGTTAAAAGTCCACTTCAAGCCTTAAATAGTCTAATTAGTACAAACAATTAAAGCTTTCCACTTCCGGTTGGAGCAAAAGGAAAAAAAGGTTATTCTGGTCCATTTCAAAAGTAACATTCATAGATGTCACTCTTGAATAGTAACCTATTGGATGTCACTGTTGGGCAGGTTGTCCATGTTTCATTGCTTCATTTTATTTCATGTTTTTCCTCCAATTTCTTCTTATGTCAAAAGCAAAAAAATGAATAAGAAAACTCCATTAGAGAGCAATCATTTTAACAAAAAAATGCACCCATTGTCAATGCCAATGTCAGAAATGACATGGTCATAATAACTGGACTTGCTTGTTCTCATTTGAAGACGATGTACCATTTTGTCTTCATGCCTTCCTATTTGTCCTTATATGGTAAGGCCCCATGTTTTTATTCATATATGATGTTCTTGGGTAATAAGCTTCTCCTTAACCATGCATATTTCTTGATTGAAAAATACCCCATACATATTTTCGTCGCAAGCTTTACAGTGATTGTGGAGGCTAAGGAGAAAGACCGGTCTTTAACCTTATAGAACCCTCTGATTCAAACTTAGACAAATGATTTTTATCTATGCTTGCAGGGTACCTTTTGGGATTGAAATCCTCAATTAACTTCAACCCAATAATACAGAAGTACTATGAAAACCTGTCGTTACAGTAAAAATTCTGTCAATCTGATGGACAAAAATCAAGACATCACATTCTCATCCAAATTATCTGATAAGAAGAAAAGCAAGAGAGAGAAGAAGAAAAAAGAGAGAGAGAAGGAAAGGAAATAAAAAAAGAAAGAGGAGAGAGAGGACTGAACTCGGGGAGAGGAAGAGAAGAAAAAAAAAAAAAAAAAAAAAAAAAAAAATCTGAAGAGTTGAAATCACCCACGGTCAAAAACATAAATCCGTAAACCACTCCGCATTTTCTGACTTCGCAATGGAGAAGTTCCCAACTTTATATACCAAGTAATTACTGAACAAAGTAAGCCGTCGAATTATTTTTACAAACTAATGCAGCACACTTTCATGCTGTGCAGTTATGCACACCCTCTATATCCATCCTAAAGAGGAAGTAGTAATTGACCCAAAAAAGAAAAGAAAAAAGAGGAAGTAGTAGATCGGAGATGGTGTGTGTGAAAGAAAAGGCATGCAGACTGTAAAAAAAACAAAAATGAAATAGAAAACAGCCTTCAAAAGTTTAGAAGTAGATTTTACAGATCAACCTAATCTGCCCCCTGACCACCGGTTATTTAGTATGGTATAGTTAGTAAGCTGTATGTCATCCCAATGATGACATTCTGGAAATTAAGTGCTTTGAGTTGCAGCGCGCTCTGTTGATGAAGCATTCCCCTCTTTGTCTGTATCAGAAAGATGTTTGGGGGCAGATGAGGAAACAATTTCGACACTAGCTGGAGCTGATGGTGGTTCTGCTTCCGTTGGATCAGTGCTGGGCTATCTCCGCCATTGAAGACTAGAGCTCGGATACCGTGGTTTGTTGGGGATGGCCTTTCTGTTACCATGTACGTGGAAAGGCTTCGGAGAAAGCTGGGCTGGGGCTTTTGCCGCAGAAGCTGCTTCTGCCTTCCTCAGCACCTATACAATAAGATCCTTGTGACTAACAGAATCTGTACCCATCTTGTGCCCTTTAATTGGAAAATTTTAATAGAAGAGAGAGAGATAGAATGTGAAACATGAGGGATACACACGGGTATAAAAGAGCTTGTCAAAGAAAAGAGGAATTCTATCTATTCAATTCTCTTTAAAAGATAAAAATATTTCCTTGATCAGAAATAGAAACTCTCAACCATGTGAACATGGACAAAGTAAGAACAATTGAGTAGCAGATTTACTACTCTCAACCATGTTAATCTCCATAAGGCCTATCCTTGTCTTTTTTATTTCTTTCTTTCGTTCTGTTTTATTTTTTGTTTATTTTTAGGTTTCCCACTTTTTTTCTTGTAATTTACCAGATCAATAACCTAATTGATCCTTTGAGACATATAAGGAACTGCTCACCTTCACAGTTCTTGAATAAAATGTTGTCCCACTCAATGCCACAGCTTTGTCAACAGATTCCTCGTTAGCAAAGGTAACATAAGCAGCCCTGATAATAGAATTGTCATAAAACTGTCCCAAACCACAGATAAAACATATAAACAGACTTTGGGTACTTCTCAGATATAGAATAGATGACTAAATAAGTGTTACCCTTGTCGGTTAGCAGTTAATATGTCTGTCAGCATTACCACATTGACAACCCCTCCACAGTTGGCAAAGAATAATGACAAAGCTTCTTTAGTTGCTTTAAAACGTATCTGTTTTATTTTTTCAAATAGTACATGGTATGCTTATGAGTTATTTTGAACAACAAATGCAGAATTTAAAACACGTTAAATAAATCAGAAGGAATAGTAGCAATATCTCCATGGAAATTAATCATAAATACCTTTCACTTTATTTAAACAAAAGTGTTCTACAAACCCTGCTTTCTGGTTAGATTAACTAAGAAGTGAACTCGAAGTGAGGATAACAGGCATGAATCGGCACACACCTCTGGTTTCCATCTTTTACTATCAACTGCTTTACTTAGAATTACAATCCTACCAATTAAATACCTTCCTTTAATTATTTTCTGTTGGCAATACAGTCAGGCTCTTCTCATCACAATATTGTGAGCTTTAATGTTTCTCTCAATTACAGTCTACGTACTCTAGGGCCATCTTCTAAGGTTCAAAAAGTAATTCAACTTAAAACAAAGATTGAAGCAAATAACTCAAATAATTTAAACTTCCAAACAACATAGAAATATAAATGTGTACCCTTCAATGACGATTGGTACTGTAAATCCCCATATGGAATGTTTGAGAAAACGTTTTTAGACTTAGTGTCTAAATTATCATATGATTCCATCTCCAAGGTACACGACAGTCATCAGAGGAAGTCCATCAAGAAGCTTTGTTAACAAAAACAAATGACAGTTGTGGAGAAGAATTTATATTTATAATAAGAAAACAAGTACTAATAGACAAGGAACAATAAATTTAGTGAGAAAACCAATGCTCAATTATCTTGGGACTACTTAGGTGTGTGTATTTACCAACCGAAAAAGAGAAAAAAGGAGCAACATACACAAATAGCTTACATTTGTTACTAATACAGTTCTTGAGTCAACCTCAATGTTTTTCTCTGAATCCTGTAATATACCTCAAAATGCACAAGTGCATTAGATTTCAGAAAAGTTAGTAAAGCTAGATCAATGAAATGATTATCAGTCAAGAGAGGAAAAATATGCATTTTAATGAGGAAGAGCAGAAGAAATCCTAGAGACCTAATTACAAGTCTTTATAATGGTTAAATATTCTTCATAACATGTTTGTGTTTCTGAGAAAATTTTACTTTGCTTAAAAAAATTGAAAAATCCACAACAATGCACAAAATCAGATTAAGACCTTATGTGAATAATCCTCACATCATAGTGTTAGCCTTCATCCTATGCATAGATAATTGAAGAAGTTCCAGACATACATTAAACTATCCTGCTACATTTGCCTCTTTGAAAAAAAACAAAAAGAATATATCTGCTTCTTGCATAAACTGTTTATGAACAAAAAATTTAAAATATAGGTTACGTAGCTGACAAGACAAGAAAAATCAAAGAAACAGAAGAACACTGGGCCATACAGAGATCAAAAGCTTTTTTCTTTTTCCAGGTACTGAGCTTGTAAACACCATCGCTATAGTTTCATTCTATCACACATCCACCCAAAACCACCTGCTCCCCTTACCTTCCCACACGCACACACACAGGTATTGTAGTTCTGAACAAAACTGAAAGCATTTATATGTAGAAATGAGCTTCATATTTTAGCAAATTGATCCAAGTTACAAAGAGGCTTTACCAGAATTCAACAAATGAATCATTTTTCCATCTTTCTTCTCCATCGCTAGCTGCTTTGAATGAAGCTTTGACATTTCCATTTCAATTTGATGCAATCTTTGTTTCACATCAAGCACTTCCTGGGGGCAAAGATATTCAAAACAAGTCTCTTACCAATTCAGTCAAGGAGGAAAAAAAGTTGGTTCTCAAAATTCAATCTATCACACAATTCAATCCTCAAAGATAGCACAGGCTTCAGATTCACAGTAAATTTATCTTATATCAACTATGTTCTATGAGGAAAAGAACATACCGATACCAGGCTTTGAGTAGTCTTCAGACCATTTTTGGTTAAGTTTGATTTTTTGAAATCCTGTGAGATAACTTTGCATTGAGGATACATGTTTCTCTCATGCACCAAAGAAACTGAACTAGTACCAAGGTCTGTACTGAGTTCACCAAAGAGCCTCTTCCGCCCAATATTATTTGCAATATGCGGTCCACCCATTGCACTACCACCATGCTCCACTTTCTTCGTCTCAACAGGGTAACCGTAAGACCTCTTACTAAGAGATCCGACGGGAGAGGCATCAGAACCGTCCGTCGAAGACGGTGCTTGTGATGATGACGGTGGCGGCGACACAGAGAGAGGGAAAGAGACGGGAAGAGAGAGAGGGGGGCTGGGATGAAGAGGAAGGGTGTGGGGCTGAGAAGAGAGCTCAGGGGTAAAAGGGTCAATTCACTGTTCATAACCCACCATTTAAATGGGGGCAAAAATGTAATTTTACGTTGTGCCAACTTTTGTGCAGTGCAGATGCTGACTTGGTATCCTAACCCAACAGTGATCTGAAAATCCCAATCATTTCAAAATTAAAAACCAAAAAGTATAAGGAAACAAAATAAACTTGTTTTACACGTTATCAGGGTTCCGTATAAATAATATTCTTCATCATAAGCCTTCACATACCCTCTCATTCATCAATCATCCCCTCTCTCTCTCTCTCCCTCTCTCTCTCTATCAAAGCTATCAAAGCTATCAAAGCCATCTTCATCTACAGTAACACAGTAAGTTCCTCATCAAGTCCTGTCTCTCTCAATCTTCAACTGCATTGCATATGTGTTTCTTTCAACTCCTTCTCTGTTTTCGAGACCATCATGTAACGTTCTTTCTTTGTCATAATATTCATATAGTGAGCGCAAGTAAGAAATAAGACCACCTCTTCATCTTTCAAAATTTTTAGTTGTAACTTGAATGAGCCATTTAGTATTGCCCTTATTTTGCATTGAGAGTTTCCGAAAAGTGTATTTGTTATTCTAGACTTTGCCGATCATGTTCAGGTGGCTAGTTTGGTTTGAATTTATTTATAAGTTTATTTGATTTATCCATGTGGGGTTCATATCATTAACATTTTGTTCACCTTTTAGATGGAAAATCGGTCGACTCGCATAGCAATAGTGAACATTGACAAATGCAAGCCCAAAAAATGTAACCAGGAATGTAAGAGGACTTGCCCGGTCGTACGTACTGGTATGTATGTTATGCTACGTACTTCTTTTTGTACATGGACTTCTTATGCATAAATGCTACTTGTTATCTATTATTACCCATAAATGTGCATGCAGGTAAGTTATGCATTGAGGTCAAACCTGTGTCCAAGGTTGCTCGTATCTCCGAAGAGTTGTGCATTGGCTGTGGTATATGTGTTAAGGTCAGTAAAGATTGTATTTTGTTTGTCTTATTTTCATCTTCTTTTTATCTACTCTAGTTGTGTTTTAACGGAGGCATTGTTTTCATTCTGGCTATGATCATGTAGAAATGCCCATTTGGAGCAATTGAAATCATCAACTTGCCAAAGGCACTGGACAAAGACACAACCTATCGCTATGGGTCTAACTCTTTTAAATTACACAGGTCAGTTACTTCCTTACCACTTTGATCAGCTTCAGGTTTTAGTGTTTTAAGTTAACAGAGACTAAATTATACATAATTACAGGTTACCAGTCCCTAGGCCAGGGGAAGTTCTTGGTTTGGTTGGAACTAATGGCATTGGGAAGTCAACTGCCCTCAAAATTTTGGCTGGCAGGCTCAAACCAAATTTGGGTCGTTTCAATGTAATACCCTTCACATATCATCGTTTTTTCATATTTCCAATTTCTCCCCTTTTCCTAGTATATGATCATTTTTCTCAAGTTTTATTTGATGAATTAATTCTTTTGAATGACTATAATTTGTTTTTTATTCTTTTGCAGAATCCTCCAAATTGGCAGGAAATCTTGACTTACTTTCGAGGATCGGAGCTGCAAAGTTATTTTATTCGTCTCTTGGAAGATAAGTTGAAGGTAAGTATATATAGATTATTTAGTCCAGTTAATTGCATAGTCGGGCACTTATATATTATGTTTTTACTTTCCTTTGCTGTTTTATGTAATATGTTTTATTTTTCCTTTAAACAGGCTGTTATAAAACCCCAATACGTTGACCACATTCCAAAAGTAGCTGAAGGCAATGTAGGGGAGTTGCTCAAACAGAAAGATGAGAGGGGTGTGATGGAAGAAGTCATTGTTGATCTTGAGCTAAACCAGGTTCTAGATCGTAAAGTAGTCAATTTATCTGGTGGGGAGCTTCAGAGATTCGCCATTGCTTTTCTTGCTTCGCAAAAGGCAGATATATACATGTTTGATGAACCTTCAAGTTATCTTGATGTGAAACAAAGGCTTAAAGCTGCCAAAGTCATCCGATCTTTGATCAGGCCTGATAGGTTTTGTTTTCATATATAGCTCTCTTCTTCTCTTCTTGCCCCAAATTTTTTTTCTTTCTTTTCATTGCTTATATTTGTGGGGTCTTTTCTTGCTTACATTGGGCATGTTTAAGTAATGGATGTTTTGCTTTGCTTTACATTTTCAGCTATGTAATCGTTGTGGAGCACGATTTGAGCGTCCTAGACTACTTATCAGATCACATTTGTTGTTTATATGGGAAGCCGGGTGCATATGGAGTTGTAACCCTGCCTTTCTCAGTTAGAGAAGGAATCAACATCTTCTTGGCGGGATTTGTTCCTACAGAAAACCTACGGTTCCGAGATGAATCTTTGACTTTTAAGGTAAGATAATAAATTCTGTCAGTGAAAATGCTGGTTTTAAGCGCTTAATCAATAGTTTTAAAGATATATAATCATGTTGTTGTCTTGTTTGTTTAGGTTTCTGAGACTCCACAAGAAAGCGGTGAGGAAATTGAGACATATGCACGGTATAGATACCCATCGATGACTAAAACGTTGGGAGAGTTCAAGCTTCAAGTTATAGAGGGCGAATTTAGCAATTCTCAAATTATTGTGATGTTGGGTGAGAATGGATCCGGGAAGACTACATTTATGAGAATGCTGGTACGTACTAGTCCTTAACATTTTCACTCTTTTTAATCAATTCAATCATTTGATAAAATTAAATTGCATCTTGATATATACGTGGAGTCATTGCATACATTTGATTTGTTCAATTTGTAGGTTGGCCTATTGAAACCTGATTCTGATGTGGAGATACCTGAGCTTTGTGTTTCCTACAAGACCCAGAAAATTAATACAAAGCGTGCAATAAAAGTCAAAGACATGCTTCATGAAAAAATTCGCGATTCCTGTACACATCCCCAGTTTGTGACAGACGTGATGAAGCCTCTTCAAATTGGGCAATTAATGGATCAAGATGTCACCAAACTCTCTGGTGGAGAGCTGCAAAGGGTTGCTCTATGTGTATGCCTTGGAAAGGTAACTGATTGATTTTAGTTTACCTAAGTTTACAGCAATAACAAATTAAGTGCACAGTATGATGCATCTGCTTTGAACTTAACTTATAAAGCCTACTTTTTGCTTGATATTGCAGCCTGCAGACATCTATCTGATAGATGAACCAAGTGCATATCTTGATTCTGAGCAGCGTATCGTTGCAGCAAAAGTCATAAAGAGGTTCATCCTCCACGCTAAGAAAACCGCATTTGTGGTTGAGCATGATTTCATTATGGCTACTTACTTGGCCGACAAAGTTATTGTCTATGAAGGAAAGCCATCAGTTGATTGTATTGCAAATTCTCCACAATCTTTGTTGACTGGGATGAATCTCTTCTTATCTGTAAGTCTTGCAGCTTGTTTAATTTGCCTCCTTGCCTTGCACAAACTTTGTCCTCCAATTGAATGTAATGTAATTTTTGTTGTTCTACGATTTGATTCTCTCTTTGTTTTTCCAATGTGGCATTGCAGCAACTGGATATCACATTTAGACGTGACCCTACAAACTATCGCCCAAGAATCAACAAATTGAACTCAACCAAGGATAGGGAGCAAAAAGCTGCTGGGTCCTATTATTACTTGGACGACTAAACTGGAACACTGTCCAACATGTTCGAGACAACAATTCCCCCTCTCCAACTCCAAGGGTGGGACTCTATGGGACGGGACTCGACTAAGCAGTCTTGATAATAGAATTGTCATAAAACTGTCCCAAACCAAAGACAAAACATACAAATAGACTTTGGGCACTTTTCAGATATGGAATAGATGACTAAATAAGTGTTACCCTTGTCGTTGAGCAGTTACTATGTCTGTCAGCATCACCACATTGACAACCCCTCCACATTTGGCAAAGAACAATGACAAAGCTTCTTTAGTTGCTGGTTTTTTTTTCTTTTTTCTTTCCAAATAGTACATGGTATGTTTATGAGATATTTTGAACATCAAATGCAGAATTTGAAACATATTAAATAAATCAGAAGCAATAATAGCAATATCTCCATGGAAATTAATCACAAATACCTTTCACTTTATTTAAACAAAAGTGTTCTACAACACCTGCTTTCTGGTTAGATTAACTAAGAAGTGAACTCAAAGCGAGGATAACAGGCATGAATCGGCACACCCCTCTGGTTTCCATCTTTTACTATCAACTGCTTTACTTAGAATTACAATCCAACCAACCTTCCTTCAATTATTTTATGTTGGCAATACAGTCAGGCTCCTCTCAACACACTACTGTGAGCTTTAATTTTTCCCCCAATTAAAGTCAAGGCCTCCACATACTCTATGGCCATCTTCTAAGAGGTTCACAAAGTATTTCAACTTAAAACAAAGACTGAAGCAAATAACTCAAATAATTTAAACCTCCAAACAACATAGAAACATAAATGTGTGAAAAACCCTTCAATGACGATTGGTACTGTAAATGTAAATCCCCATATGGAATGTCACCTTTTCAGACTTAGTTTCTAAATTATCATATGATTCCATCTCCAAGGTACATGACAGTCATCATAGAAAGTCCATCAATAAGCTTTGTTAACAAAAACAAACGACAGTTGTGGAGAAGAATTAATAAGAAAAAAAAGTACTAATAGATAAGGAACAAACAATTTAGTGAGAAAACCAATGCTGATTATCTTGGGGGTGCTTAGGTGTGTGTATTTACCAACCAAAAAAGAGCAAAAAAAAGGAGCAACATACACAAATAGCTTACATTTGTTACTAATACAGTTCTTGTGCGTCAACCTCAACGTTATTCACCGGATACTTTAATATACCTGAAAATGCACAAATGCATTAGATTCCTGAAAAGTTCAGGCTTCTGGGGACAACAATGATTGCCAGTTAGTAAAGCTAGATCAATGAAATGATTATCGGTCAAGAGAGGAAAAATATGCATTTTGATGAGGAAGAACAGAAGAAACCTAGAGACCTAATTACAAGTCTGGATAATGGTTAAATATTTTTCATAACATGTTTGTGTTTCTGAGAAAATTTTACTTTGCTTAAAAAAATTGAAAAATCCATAACAATGCACAAAATCAGATTAAGACCTTATGTGAATAATCCTCACATCATAGTGTTAGCCTTCATCCTATGCATAGATAATTGAAGAAGTTCCAGACATACATTAAACTATCCTGCTACATTTGCCTCTTTGAAAAAAAACAAAAAGAATATATCTGCCTCTTGCATAAACTGTTTATGAACAAAAAATTTAAAATATAGGTTACATAGCTGACAAGACAAGAAAAATCAAAGAAACAGAAGAACACTGGCCCATACAGAGATCAAAAGCTTTTTTCTTTTCCCACTGAGCTTGTAACCATCGCTATAGTTTCATTCTATCACACATCCACACAAAACCACCTGCTCCCCCTACTTTCCCACACGCACACACACATGTATTGTAGTTCTGAACAAAACTGAAAGCATTTATATGTAGAAATGAGCTTCATATTTTAGCAAATTGATCCAAGTTACACAGAGGCTTTACCAGAATTCGACAACTGAATCATTTTCCTTTTCATCTTTTTTCTCCATCGCTAGCTGCTTTGAATGAAGCTTTGACATTTCCATTTCAATTTGATGCAATCTTTGTTTCACATCAAGCACTTCCTGGGGGCAAGATATTCAAAACAAGTCTCTTACCAATTCAGTCAAGGAGGAAAAAAAGAAGTTGATTCTCAAAATCCAATCTATCACACAATTCAATCCTCACAGCTAGCACAGGCTTCAGATTCGCAGTAAATTTATCTTATATCAACTATGATCTATGAGGAAAAGAACATACCGATACCAGGCTTTGAGTAGTCTTCAGACCATTTTTGGTTAAGTTTGATTTTTTGAAATCCTGTTAGATAATTTTGCATTGAGGATGCATGTTTCTCTCATGCACCAAAGAAACTGAACTAGTACCAGGGTCTGCACTGAGTTCACCAAAGAGCCTCTTCCGCCCAATATTATTTGCAATATGCGGTCCACCCATTGCACTACCACCATGCTCCACTTTCTTTGTCTCAACAGGGTAACCGTAAGACCTCTTACCAAGAGATCCAACGGGTGAGGCATCAGAACCGTCCGTCGGAGACGGTGCTTGTGATGATGACGGTGGTGGAGACAGAGAGAGGGAAAGAGACGGGGAGGAGAGAGGGCTGGGATGAAGAGGAAGGGTGTAAGGCCTAGTTTGGGATTGCTGTCACTTTTAAAAAAAGTTGCGTCTGCTGTGCTTTAAAAATAATTAGCTGTAAAGTAAAGCAGCTCCATGTTTGGTAAACACTATTTTTAAAGTGCTGTTAGTACAAAAAGCAGTGTTAAAACCGTTTCATAAATTTTAATATAAAATTGTTGTAACTGTGAATAATGACTAAAATAGATATGATGTTAAAAGTGTTATGCACTAATCATGTGGTGGTAGTGGTAGTGGTAGTGATAGTGATGGAGTGGAGTTGGTGGTGGAGATAAAGGCGAAGTTGATGGTTGTGGTGGTGGGGATGGCAGTTGTGGAGGTGGTGGTGGTGGTGATGGTGGTAGTGGCAACATGGTGGTGGTGGTGGATGTGGAGGTTTTGGAGGAGGTGGTGATGGTGGTGGTGAATGAGGAGGAGGTGATGTTGGAGGTGGTGGTGGCGGAGGATGAGGAGGAGGAGGATGTGGTGGTTGTGGTGGTGGTGGTGGCGGTGGTTGTGGAGGTAGTAAATGTGGTGGTGCAAGTGGTGGAGTTGGATGTAAAAGTGGAGGTGGTGTCATTTTTTTAAAATGAATGATGATATTTTGAGAATTAAAAAAATTCATTAAATGTTCATCTCTGCTTCTTTTGAAAGCAGCTTTGAAAAGCAACCCAGAGTCAGCTTTTAAAAGCTGCTGTCAAAAGGCCACTGCTTTTAAAATAATCGGGATATTTTAATTTTACCAAACACCTTAAACTGCTTGACTTTAAAGTTAAGCAGGTTTTTGGCCAAAAAAAGCAATCCCAAACGGGGCCTAAGGCTGAGAAGAGAGCTCAGGGGTAAAAGAGTCAAGTCATTGTTCATAAGCCTTTGTAACAGAAGGAAGAGCCCACCATTTAAGTGGGGGCAAAAACGTAAAATTAATGTTGTGCTAACTTTCGTGCAATGAAGGTACTGACTTGCTATCCTAACCCAATACTGATTTAAAAATCCCAATCATGTAACGATTTTTGTTTGTCATAATAATCATATAGTGAGCGCAAGTAAGAAATAAGACCACCTCCTCATCTTTCATAAATTTTAGTTGTTAGAATTGAGGATTTTAGCTGTTGCAAGCTTCATACAAGTACTCAATATCTTCCTACAAGTGTATTATTCTGGACTTTACCGATCATGTTCAGGTGGCTAGTTTGGTTTGAATTTCTTTATAAGTTTATTTGTTTTATTTATTTTTTTAAATGCGGTCATTGCATTCATGTCTTTCAATCATCTCTCTCACAATGCTTTGAATCTTGGGTGATCAACAAAATTTCATGTTCTTTTGAACTTGTTCACATTTATCTTGGTGGTCTTGTTTAAACCTTTTTCCTTGGTAGCAAGGAATACATTCTATTCATTGTAGATGACTTCTTTGGGTTTACATGGGTCTCATTCTTGAGTGATAATTTGAAATTTTTTTTCAAAAATTCAATTATGTGGGTCACTTTTTGCATAACGAAAAGTTGACTAGTCATCTGACAATATTCAGAGTTCAAACATAACCGTGAGACTGAGTTTGAGAAATTTAGTGAGAAAATGAGAAATTCTTTTATGTTGGCAACAACCTTGCTGTCTGGCATTGTGAGAAATATAATTATGATTTTTTGTTCATAGCAAAGGCTGAGTTCTTTTGGATGAAACATATGTTGGATGACTATGCTTTTCAATAATCATTCTTTCTCATATATTGTGATAACCTGAGTGAAATAGATATCTCAAAAATTCATGTCCATCACTCAAGAACCAAACCTTTTGACATAAGATATCATTTCATTAGGGATCTTGTGGAAAACAAAGTCTTAAGTTTGAAGTATGTTCCTTTTGAAAAACAACTGGCAGATATACTTACCAATGCTCTGGATTTTTTTTTATTTAAAAAAACACGTTGCTATGTGAAAATCCATTGGCTTTGCTCTATTGAATGATTAGTATTTCTACTTTGACTAGTCATCTCATGTCATACTTTTTTTAAATAAAAAAAATCAAAATAATTGATGATGTATGTGATTTGTTCCTCAAAAGGATCTGATGGTGTGAAAATTGGATGGTGTTAATGTCACAGTTGTTATGTGCATAATCCCCTTGCTTGTTTAGAATCATTGAAAGAAATCTAAGTGGTGTTGGCAATGTAGTCGCAGCTCTAGGAAGTTATAAGGTGTTTTGATTGAAGAATCTAGAGCAAAGAGCCGCAAAATTGGGCCATTTAAGCACTTGAGTTTGGGATGTGCAATGAAAAATATATTTTTTTAAGTGTTTGATGATCTTGTGCATTGTTTATGTTTTAAAGGTCAATTTAAGATACGAGTTTTCTAAGAGTGAAATCATTTCATTACTTGCCTCTTTGTGTCTCCGATCCTCCATATCCTAAATATGCACTGCAACTGAGCGTTGATCACTTCTATATTCTATCTCTCACCTTTATTTTGAGTGCTTATATGGACTGAGCATATGTGTTTTTCAAATTTCTTCATGCATATGTCATTTCATTTTTTTTCTTATGTTTTCTTATGTGTAATATGCTGTAGTGTTTGGATAGGCTTAGCTTCTCATTTGGTAACATGGTTTGTCTGCTAGTATTTCATTTGTTTTGAAAAACCAATTGTTTTCCATAAGGTTTTTGATGGGAATGGTTGCTTTGCATGACTAGTCATCTACACTAGTCATCTGAATTGAATGGTTCTCATTTTTTTTGTGTGGCTTAAGACTTCATGATTCTTCCGAACACAACTTTTTACTTTCTAGGGTCTGTACTTGAGCATTCACCACTCTCTTATTCCTTGGCTATGTCTCTGGCTGTTAAGTCATGTTGTATATGCTTAATAAGGATCTTGTGACTTTTGGTGAAATTAATTTTCGCTCTCTAAGAACCAAGACCATTGGTTATGACACAAAACACAAAGGCTCACTTGTCTTCTCCCTGTCTCATTTACACCCTCTGTTTGAACACTAGTCATCGCTTGATGTTATGCGTTTCTGGGTCTGTGTTCTTGCAATTGAATAGTCATCGCTTGATTTTATCATTTTGCAGAGCATGCTAATTACATGTGCATCTTTATTCTCTACTTTGTCCATTTCCTGGAAATATTTTGCATCAATGTCGACAGCAACCTTGATGCTCTAAAAGACATCCTCCTGAAAACTCATATATATATATAAATGTAAACATTCCATTCCATTCTAAGTTTCAGATGAAAACTAATCTACCCTGCATCCATGCATCAGATTTACAGCACAGTTATATGTAGATTCCTGGAGGTGCTTGTTACTCCACGCAGGTAGTTTTTCAATCTGAGCTTGTGTTACCGATGACATCCTAATTATCATCATCAACAACCTCTCTTCCAGAGAAGCCACAACAACTTCTATCATTTGCCCTGCATTGAGGTATATTTGGATGTCAAGCCAGAATTTAGAATTTAATGAAGGTTTTTTTTTGTGAAGAACAAGGCAGCTGCTGCAACCCAGATTGAAGCTTTCGTAAAATTTGTGGAAGAGTTCTTGGAAGTCTATCAACAGCCCAATGTGCTTACCTTCAAAGTCATGTTTTCACATTCAAGGAAGTACCCAAATCTGATGAAACGTTGCATCAGATTCTCTGTAATGCATGAAACCAAACACTTAATGCTGGATTTTGCAGACCCAACATTGGATGAATACATCTTGAAACATGTGGGGACTGGTTTGATTTGCCTGTGGAGTTCTACGGGCACAAGTATTAAAGATTCCAGATACTTGTGCCCGTAGAACTCCACAGGCAAATCAAAATAGTCCCCACATGTTTCAAGATGTATTCATCCAATGTTGGGTCTGCAAAATCTAGACTACCTTGAGATAGAGATCACAGAGTTTGTTGATAGGCAGAGCATTGACTCCTGCATTGACCAATGGGCTATACGCTATAGATAAAATATTTTAAAAGTACAGTCGCGTGGCAATAGATAATAAATAAAATATTTTAAACGTATAGCCGCGCGGCTACATCCTTTCAATAGCATAATCCTGATTTCTCTTTTTTAATTACTTTATTTAGAAGTTATGTTTTAATTACTATTTACTTATTGAAAAATTAGTATTTGATTAAATAAAAAATAAAAAATAATAATTACCATTTATTAAGTAATATAATGTATGAATTTAATTAAAATATTTAATTATTCAGTAAAAAATAATCACGGATGAAATTAATTAAATAAGGCTAAGATATTACTTAATTAATAAAAAAATCAAACACTAAAAAGGATATTATAAGAGTATAGCCACACTTTTTTGTTTCAAGCGTATAGCCGGTCGGCTATACCCCATAAATAGAATGTTTTAGACGTGGAGCCGCACGGCTAGAATTTTAGTAGTCTCGCCACACAGCTATACTTTTTGAATAGCATAATCTTGATTTCTCTTTTTTAATTACTTTATTTAGTAGTTGTGTTTACTTATTGAACAATTAGAATTTAAATATTTGATTAAATAAATAATAATAATTGCCATTTATTAAGTAATATAATGTATGAATTTAATTAAAATATTTAATTATTCAATAAAGAAATAATAATTAAAATGTAATTACAGATGAAATTAATTGATTAAGGAATTAATAAAAAAGAATATTCTAAAAAGGATATTTTCAGAATATAGCCGCGCGGCTATACCTTTTGATTTGTAATAAAGTTTTTATGGTGTATAGCCGCCCGGCGGTACTCCATAAAAAGAATATTTGTAGAGTATAGCCGTGTGGCGATACTCCATAAATAGGATTTTAATGGTACAGCCGAACGGCTGTACGCTTTGAATAGCATAATCTTGATTTCTCTTTTGAATAGCCAAGTGGAGTTGCAAAGGCGATTTTCTCCTCCTTCGGATGGTAGCGTTCCCAGGCTAGTAAGCTTTGTAACTAATTACTATAATAAACTGCTAGGAGATGAGTATAGGCCAAGCTTGATCTAGATCTTGCAGATCCATCAAAGCTGGAAACAAGATGTGTCTGATGATGTCCTTTCCCATCCGATTTATTGTACCATGAAGGAAGTTGGGCTAAATTTGGATGCATGGCCCAAGGCCTATGAGGACATCTCCCTCTACCTTTTCATGATGAACAATCACTGTCATTTCGACCAAATGAAAGGCACACAGCTTGGGGATATAATGGGAAATCTTGGTTAGAAGCTCATGAGAAATACAAGGGCTATTGTGCAGCTCTCTACTTGAGAGAGAGCTGGGGAAACCTTCTGCCTCTTCTAAGCCAAAAGGGTTTAATTTCATTTCCTTTTGATCACCAGGATTTTGATTTTCAATGAGGCTTTTTGATGAAAGGTACAAGAAGCACTCCAATTGGGTCATATATGACGAAAGCTTGAGGAAGAAGGTATGCCAACTTTAGGTGCAGGCAGTTGTACCTGTTTATTGGAGCTACATACACAAGATGCAAGTGGTAGAAAGTATGTTAAATACACTGCACAAAGCTTGGGGAAGATGTTGTGCTCCCTGTTTCAGCCCAAGATTGGCAAGTATTCCAGCACCAAACATATACGTCTTATTGGTAAACTAAAAAACGTCGTGACGAATCAGCTTCGTGTAACTCTTAAGGCAATGTGACTTTGTAGAAAGAGTAATGTTAGAAGGACCATATTTTTAGATTATAGGATCATACATCTAATAGATGCAGGATCCGTCTAAACAAGCGGGTCCTAAACTGATATAGTCTGTAATCTGGTACAAATAATGTTGAGGGCAAAACTAGTTAGCCCTGTGTTCATGTTATTTTTTTGTATAGATTTACACTTACTAATTACTTACTATGTATTTATTTAAATTATTATTTATGGATTTCCTTTTAAATATTTTAGAGAAAATTATTTAAAAGTCCAGTTCAAGCCTTAAATTGTATAATGGGTACAAAGAGTTAAAGCTTTCCAGTTGGGGCGGAAGGAAAAGAATGTTATTCCGGTCCATTTTAAACATAACATCCATGGATGTCACTCTTGAATAATAACCCATGGGATGTCACTGTTGGGAAGGCTGTCCATGTTTCATTGCTTCATTTTATTTCATGTTTTTCCTCCAATTTCTTCTTTTTATGTCAAGAGCACAAAAGTGAATAAAAAACTCCATTACATACCAATAAAAAAGGCACCCGTAGTCAATGTCATTGTTGGAGAATGACATGGTCATAATAACTTAACCGACTTGTTCTTATTTGGAGGCGGCGTACCATTTTGTCTTTGTGCCGTCCTATTTGTCCTTACATAGTAAAGCCCCATTTTTTTATATACATATTTGATGTTCTTGGCTAATAAGCTTCTCCTTAACCATACATATTTTCGTTGCAAGCTTTACAGTGATTGTAGAGGCTAAAGAGAAAGACCAGTCTTTAACCTTATAGAACCCTCTGATTCAAACTTAGACAAATGATTTTTATCTATGTTTGCAGGGTACCTTTTGGAGTTGAAATTCTCAATTCACTTCAACCCAATAATTTCAAAGTATCATGAAAACCTGTCATTACAGTTAAAATTCTGTCAATCTGATGGACAAAAATCAAGACACCACATTCTCATCCAAATTATCTGATAATCCGTAACTTTATATACCTACCAAGTAATTACTGAACAAAGTAAGCTGTTGAATCATTTTTACAAACGAACGCAGTACACTTTCATGCTGTGCTGCTGTGCACACCCTCTATATCCATCCTAAAGAGGAAGTAGTAGATCAGAGATGGTGTGCGTGAAAGAAAAGGCATGCTGAGATTTCCTAGCTGATTCTGTAAAAAAAAACAAAAACGAAATATAAAACAGCCTTCAAAAGTTTAGAAGTAGATTTATAGATCAACCTAATCTGCTCCCCTAACTAGCGGATATTTAGTATGGTATAGTTATGATCTAGTTTAGTGAGCTGTATGTCATCCCAATGACGACATTCTGGAAATTAAGTGCTTTGAGTTGCAGTGCGCTCTGTATCAGAAAGATGTTTTGGGGCAGATGAGGAAACTCCTTCAACACTAGCTGGAGCTGATGGTGGTTCTGCTTCTGTTGGATCAATGGTGGGCGCTCTCCGCCATTGTAGACTAGATCTCAGATACCGTGGTTTGTTGGGGATGGCCTTTCTGTTACCATGTGGTACATGTGTGTCGAAAGTCTTCGCAGCATGTGGTCCATGTGTGTCGAAAGTCTTCGCAGAAACCTGGGCTGGGGCTGTTGCTGCAGAAGCTGCTTCTGCCTTCCTCAGCACCTATACAATAAGTATACAGGTGAAAAATTAATTTTTCGAATATTATTGTCAGTTCTACAAATGTGAATCTCAAATTTACAACCTAAGATCCTTGTGACTAACAGAATCTGTACCCACCTTGTGCCCTTTAATTGGAAAATTTTAATAGGAGAGAGAGAGAGAGAGAGAGAGAGAGAGAGAGAGAGAGAGGATAGAATGTGAAACAGGAGGGATACACGCGGGTATAAAAGAACTTGTCAAAGAAAGAGGAATTCTATCTATTCCATTCTCTTTAAAAGATAAAAAATAAAATCTTTCCTTGATCAGAAATAGAAACTCTGTTGTCATCTACAGCCCAAGAGAAGCTTAATATTATCAGCCTATTCAGTTTATTATTTTTATCCCAACTTGGTTCTCTTGAAACCAGTTAATAGCAATTGTATAGCATTTTTAACATTTATCCACTGCCCAATGAACGTGGACAAAGTTAGAACAATTGAGTGGCAGATTTACTACTCTCAACCATGTTAATCTCCATAAGGCCTACCCTCGTCTTATTTATTTATTTCGTTCTGTTTTATTATTATTATTTTTTTAGGTTTCCCACCTTTTTCTTGTAATTTACCACATCAATAACCTAATTGAAACTTTGAGACATATAAGGAACTCCTCACCTTCACAGTTCTTGAATAAAATGTTGTCCCACTCAATGCCACGGCTTTGTCAACAGATTCCTTGCTAGCAAAGGTAACATAAGCAGTCCTGATAATAGAATTGTCATAAAACTGTCCCAAACCAAAGACAAATCATACAAATAGACTTTGGGTACTTCTCAGATATGGAATAGATGACTAAATAAGTGTTACCCTTGTCGTTTAGCAGTTACTATGTCTGTCAGCATCACCACATTGACAACCCCTCCACAGTTGGCAAAGAACAATGACAAAGCTTCTTTAGTTGCTGAAAAATGTACCTGTTTTTTTTTTTTTTTTTTTTTTTTTTTTTTTTTTTTTTTTTACAAATGGTATACTGGTATACGAGATATTCTGAACAGCAAATGCAGAATTTGAAACACATTAAATAAATCAGAAGGAATAATAGCAATATCTCCATGGAAATTAATCACAAATACCTTTCACTTTATTTAAACAAAAGTGTTCTACAGCCCCTGCTTTCTGGTTAGATTAACTAAGAAGTGAGCTCAAAGCGAGGATAACAGGCATGAATTGGCACACCCCTCTGGTTTCCATCTTTTACTATCAACTGCTTTACTTAGAATTACAATCCAACCAACCTTCCTTCAATTATTTTATGTTGGCAATACAGTCAGGCTCTTCTCAACACACTACTGTGAGCTTTAATGTTTCTCCCAATTAAAGTCAAGGCCTCCACATACTCTACGGCCATCTTCTAAGGTTCACAAAGTATTTCAACTTAAAACAAAGATTGAAGCAAATAACTCAAAAAATTTAAACCTCCAAACAACTTAGAAATATAAAAACCCTTCAATGACGATTGGTACTGTAAATCCCCATATGGAATGTCATGTTTTTAGACTTAGTTTCTAAATTATCATATGATTCCATCTCCAATGTACATGACAGTCATCATAGAAAGTCCATCAGTAAGCTTTGTTAACAAAAACAAATGACAGTTGTGGAGAAGAATTTATATTTATAATAAGAAAAAAAGTACTAATAGACAAGGAACAAACAATTTAGTGAGAAAACCAATGTTGATTATCTTGGGGATGCTTAGGTGTGTGTATTTACCAACCAAAAAAGAGAAAAAAAAGGAGCAACATACACAAATAGCTTACATTTGTTACTAAGACAGTTCTTGCGTCAACCTCAATGTTATTCTCTGAATACTTTAATATACCTGAAAATGTACAAATGCATTAGATTCCTGAAAAGTTCAGGCTTCTGGGGACAACAATGATCGCCAGTTAGTAAAGCTAGATCAATGAAATGATTATCAGTCAAGAGAAGAAAAATATGCATTTTAATGAGGAAGAACAGAAGAAACCCTAGAGACCTAATTGCAAGTCTGGATAATGGTTAAATATTCTTCATAACATGTTTGTGTTTCTGAGAAAATTTTAATTTGCTTAAAATTTTTGAAAAATCCATAACAATGCACAAAATCAGATTAGGACCTTATGTGAATAATCCTCACGTCATTGTGTTATGCTTTCATCCTATGCATAGATAATTGAAGAAGTTCCAGACATACATTAAACTATACTGCTACCATCAGAACACATTTGCCTCTTTGACCAAAAAAAAAAAAGAGAATACATTTGCCTCTTATATATACTGTTTATGAACAAAAAATTTAAAATATAGCTTACATAGCTAACAAGACAAGAAGAATCAAAGAAACAGAAGAACACTGGCCCATACAGAGATCACAAGCTTTTTCTTTTCCCAGGTCCTGAGCTTGTAAACACCATCACTATAGTTTCATCCTATCACACATCCACCCAAAACCACCTGCTCCCCCTACTTTCCCCCACACACACATGTATTGTAGTTCTGAACAAAACAGAAAGCATTTATATGTAGAAATGAGCTTCATATTTTAGCAAATTGATCCAAGTTACACAGAGGCTTTACCAGAATTCAACAAATGAATCATTTTTCCATCTTTCTTCTCCATCGCTAGCTGCTTTGAATGAAGCTTTGACATTTCCATTTCAATTTGATGCAATCTTTGTTTCACATCAAGCACTTCCTGGGGGCAAAGATATTCAAAACAAGTCTCTTACCAATTCAGTCAAGGAGGAAAAAAAGTTGGTTCTCAAAATTCAATCTATCACACAATTCAATCCTCAAAGATAGCACAGGCTTCAGATTCACAGTAAATTTATCTTATATCAACTATGATCTATGAGGAAAAGAACATACTGATACCTGGCTTTGAGTAGTCTTCAGACCATTTTTGGTTAAGTTTGATTTTTTGAAATCCTGTGAGATAATTTTGCATTGAGGATACATGTTTCTCTCATGCACCAAAGAAACTGAACTAGTACCAGGGTCTGTACTGAGTTCACCAAAGAGCCTCTTCCGCCCAATATTATTTGCAGTATGAGGTTTACCCACTGCACTACCACCATGCTCCACTTTCTTTGTCTCCACAGGGTAACCATAAGACCTCTGACCAACAGCAGGAGCTTCTGGATTCCTCTTTGGAGGTATTAGTGCGAGCTGGTTATGGACTTTCCCATCTTGCTTCTTATGGTCAACACCATAAAAATCAACACTCGTGTGCCCTAGAGATATGTCCTCACATGGCTTTCCCAATCTATCCCAAACACTACCCCGAGGTTTTTCACTATGCAGGGATCCTGTACCTGGTGACAGACTACTTCCTAAATTGTTATTGGCACAAATCTGTTTAAGACAAGGATGTCCTGCATGAAGAAAGCATCAAAGTGTTCATCATGATTGGGCCATAAGCAAAGGAAGCTTATACATTTTCTATAAACAGGCAATTAACAAGATCAGTTCCACAGATACATACACACCCACATAATTGTGTATTTCTAATAGCTTAAATACGTATATAGGTAATCTAACGTGCTACCTGACATAAAAAATCGCACATTTTCAGGCACTGCCTCTCTTTTTGGTAAAGGTAAAAGCTCCTTAGGCAACCCTCTTGATTCTTGATTGAGAATCTGCTCTACAGTAAGCAAATTCGGAACTTACAAAAAGGAAACTTTGTATATAATCACTAAGGGCGCCATTAAACAGTGTAATCAGCCAACCTGGTTAATTTCATTTATACACTGAGTTCTTCGATCTACCTCATGGTTTATATTTTCAGTTGCAATAGTTCTTCTCAGAATTCCATTGCTGCATGTCTGTGACAATCCTTTCTTGGTATTCGCCTCACTCAAAGGGGCAGAAAAAGAGGGACCGTGTTGAGAACCTTCAGCAAGTTTCACATCCTCAGAAGAAATAGGATCACAAGTTGAAACTTGGTAGGTCATGTTGTCTTTCATCTGCCACGGGAAACTACATTACAACTCCTCCTAAAACTCTATCATACATAAAGAAATAAATTCGGATAACTGAAATTACCACAAGCTCATCATGTCCAGTAGAATATCTCTGGAAATCTTCACATCTGTCAGTGCTTGCACCCTTGCATCTATCACTGTCTTGGGGACTAACGGCAGCAATTTCATCTAGATACAAAAAGCCAGAGTCTGTAGAAGATTGACCAGGCTTTTTCAAGATAAGATTCCATAACCTACATAGGCAGACGAGTTGAAAGTTATTTTGAGCCATTCTTGTGTGCTTAGAAATAAGACGAGACGGATAAGTGACCTTATTAATGAAAACAAAATGCAAAGCACATAAGTTATTTTACCCAATTTTTGTGAGGGAATTATCATTCACTTTTAAAATTGGGTGAGTGCGATAAAGAAGAAAGTTACAGCTAATCAAGAGAGTTTCATATTCAGGGTACCAGGATACAAATTCCACAGTCCTGTTGCCAAGAAATGCCTCTAAATCCTCTTTTGCCTGATATTGATGCTTTCCATTACAAATCAGCACTGTAATATACTCCTGAAGTGATGAACACATTACTCTCAGTGAAATTTCAAGAAGTAATGCAATCCCTCAATAAAAGCTTGTTAATGAGAAGAGTGAATAATCACACATTTGCGCTTCATCACAAAATTTCAACTCAAGTTTAAAAATAAGAAGAAACAGATAAAGAACACTTCGGCAACGATTACAGAAATTGACGACTATTCACTGTTGGAGTAGCAATCCCAATTCCATTTTTTTACTTCTCATAAATCAATTTGCAGTATCATTGAGAACAAACATTTTTCTTTTCAGTGCGTGGGTTTGAATATATAATCATACTAATGGAGAGCTACCATTGAAAAATTGAATCAGGCAACTTAAATTATTCACTCACACTGCCACAACCTGAATTCTTTCAAGAACAAAAAAAAGAAAGACAATTATGCCAGCAAGGGCAGAACCAGGAATTTTTTAACTGGTGGGATAGAAAGCAGATATATAGGTTTAATATTTTGTCACCCCAAAAACCTCACTGGGGACTGTAGCCCTTGTGGTAGTTCCGCCCGTGTATCCCAGTCACTATCACATTTTTATCAAGTGCTTGCAATTATTTTAACTCTTAGGACATGATTTCTTGTTGTCCACTCAACTTCTTTTGAATATAGAAGAAATTAAGTAAGCCCTAGCCTCTTGCTTGCTCTATCTAAGATTAAACATTCATAACATCTACATACACGTCTGTGTAACTCTGAAGCAATACCTTAATTTAATTATTAAGCACGCGACGTTTTCATTCTCATTTCACCCGACAACAAAATCATCACAAAACGTAACGTAAAATGTTAATTTCTTTGCTTACATTTTCTCGTCAACCAAACGAACACGAAGTTTTCCTTCCCATCCCACTGATAGAAATAGCATCAAACACAACGTAAAGTGTAAATTCATTTTCCTACAATTTCTCAGCAACCAAACGAGGAGCTACAAAAGAGAATCGCTCACACATTTTCCCGAAACATCAATTTATTTCGCTAATTAGACTCAGAATATGGAAATAAATAAAGGACTATTATAGCGTAAGTTCAACTGGAAAGGATGAGAAAATTACAGCGAGGACGTCGTCTCTGTAATCAGCGAGAAATTGACGAAGCTCGCGGGAAATGAAGGATTTGAGTCTCAAAGCCGCATGTGATTTCCTGTGGACCTTGAACGACCTAGGGCTCGCCGAGAAAATGTCCATCGGAAAATGCAGCGTCGTAGGCTCTCACTCTCTTCTATTCAATTCTTTTTCCCAGCTCATCAAACGAGTCTGAAAGGAGCAAGTGACGCTTATAAGCATGCTGCTTAACGGGTCCGGGGACTCGTGCCCCTTTTTACCGTTTGGACCCGAAATAGAAAAACAAATTCTATTTCCCAACTATTTGTGTGAAGTTACTACTATGGCCCTCTTGCACTTTTTTTTGGTCGAAATGCCCTCCCTTTTTACAAACTCATTTTAAAAATAAAGGACACTAACGTAAATACATATTATATTATTTTCATTTCCAAGTTTTTATCCACTACTTTCTCCTTTGTTCTCAATCCTTCCTCCCTCCACTTTTTCTTCATTTCTCATTTCACTCTAGCTAGGGGTGGGCATAGTTCGGTTTGGGCCAGTTTTTATCTTAAATTGGAATCGAATCCAGTACTATTTATTCAGTTCAGTTCGGTCCGATTTTAACAAAAAAATTTATAAAATTGTTCGGTTCGAGTTGAATTGATTCTGGTCCAGTTGGTTTTGAACCGAATTATTATTATTATTTTTTCAAATTATTTTTTTTTATACAATTTCAACTAAAATTTTATTATTTTGGCTTGAAAATTAACAAATTATCCAATTTCATACAAAAAGAAATATTGAGGCTAGAAAAGAGAGATGTTTTGAAATTGAACTTGGGTAAATATTAGTTATGAGATTAAAAATATAGCATTGGATATAAATAAATATTAAAATTATATATTTTTTAATTTGGTTGGTTCGGTTCGGCCCGATTCAGTTTGTTGAGGTATAGAACCGAAATGGGAGCTAGTTATAATCGGTTTGGTTCAATTTTTCGAATTGGATTTAACTTTTTTGTCAACACGGTTTTTTTTTCCATTTTTTAATCCGGTTTGATTCGGTTCTTCGGTTCTTCAGTTCTGATGCCTACCCCTAACTCTAGCCAAAAGAAATGGTTACAATATGGACCTTTATTTCTTTTTTATACTACTCGTTATTTTCTTATTATACATTCTTCTACATTTATCTTCTTTTTTTAAATATATTTTTTTATACAAGCAATATTGGGGATGGAGTTTTCTCACACACAATGTCAAAGTACCATAGGAATTTGAACATGAAACCATTGATCTACAAGTCAATGCAATTTTCTAATGGACTATACCCCATTAACTAATTTTCACTAGGCCAACAAAAGTTTAGACTATTATAATCAACTATAAAAGAAATCAAATGAACTTGAATTGCAGGTAATTCCCACTTTGGAACTGTAACAAAAAGAAAGCTTCCACCACAAATGATTAGAAATTTCTCCAAGGACAACTCTATTAAAATTGTGGAATTGAAATTGGCATTGTCACAAGCTCTTAACTTTAGAGCATCTCCAATTGCCTCTTCAACAATGTTGGAATGCTAAAATATGTGAGCCATATCAACAAAACTATCCCAACAAAACAAACTTGTCAAAACTTAATCACATAAGCTACAACTCCTTTCTCTCTCTCTTTATAATTGATAAGTTGACTGTGGCTCTTCAAAACAATTATTTTACTTTGGAAAAAACGAACTTACATTGAAAATGCTAAAAACCTTTTGTGCTTAGAACATTAATTGTCTGGTTTATTGTGTAAGTGGAGTCTACGTGTTAGCATAAGAATGCGAACAACAAATTGAGGAAGGTAAATCAGAAATGATATATTTTTGCTCAACACTTTAGCCAAAGGTGTATTCTCACCAAGCATCTCAACATTTGACACGTGTCCATGGGTCTAACTATAGTTAACTCTTTGTTTTGTATTTATGGAATCATGGTTATACTAATGGACACATATCAAATATTGAGAAGAGTAGTGATAGTACACATTGATTTAAAGTGATAAGAAAAAATTCTCTCAAACGAGAAATGTAGATAGCATGCGTCATTTTTCATCGCGGGTATAAAAACTTCAAATTAATAAACTTTACTCTGCCAACTTTAAATGATAATAATTGGTTGGAAATATATAAAAGTTTGAAGATAAAAATATTTTCAAATTTTAAACGTTAGATCTGAAGCCCAATTTTTCTTAGCGTTGGGCCTCAAAACGAAACTACGAAATGGGTTTGCATAAAAACAGAACAAACTCCCGCTTGAATTCAAAAATGGCAATCATCCTCCTGAACCTTTGACCCTCCAAATAATCTTCAGATCCATTTCCACAGACTCACCGACAAGCAGAGAGCAAAAATGGCGGAAGAGACGGTGGAAGAAGAGAAGTCCTTAATGCTCAAAATCGCTCAAATCTTGAACGACGCTCGCACCTCCAACGCTACCCACAACCGCAAGCTCAAGGAGCTATCCGCCCTCCGCGCCAAGACGTCGTCGTCTTCTCTCTTCTTCTCCGCATTCTGTAAAACTCTAACTCCCCTCTTCGCCTTCCAGAGGCGTACGGCCTCCGCCGAACGCACCGTTCGATTCATCTCTGCCTTCGCCATGGCCCGAGACTCCGGCCCTGCCTCCCAATGCGACGCTTTCTTGGAGGACTTTCTCAGGTTCCTTCTGCCGGTGTCTGCCGCCGCTAATAGGACTCATAGGTTCCGAGCCTGCCAGATTGTTTCTTCGGTAGGGTTTTTAATTTGGTTACTGAACCAAGTGTTGGAAATTGAGGGGAAATTGGGGTTTGGGGTTTTAGGGCTTTCCTATTTTTGGTATTTTGAATGGTTGTTTCTTGGTTGGTTGCTGAGAATATGAAGTCAGGGAAAGAAGGGGATATTATTCATGGGATTTGATGTGTTGATAGGGGTGATAGGAGACGATTTCTGGTTTTGGTTGCTGGATAGGAACTCTTAACGACTCTATATTTCAATTTTAAATTTTAGCTTCTTTTGTTTGAACCCACAAGTAGAGACGTATGGCTTTTGGTTGCTCTATATGTAGCTTATGAATTATTTCTCAAAACTTTACAATTGATGAACTTGATGGAAGGTGCATAAATTCGTAGAGCTATTTTCATCACGATGGTTTTATTGGAAAAGAGGGATTTCTATAAGGTTTTACTTTTGAGCTACTGACACCTAAAATCGAGATCTGTAAGTAGCATTTGATTTATCTACTCTGGATGTTGCACTTCGTTTGAACTTATATGGTGAGGTTTCATTAGCTTTATTCATTCTTGGCGGGAGCTTTCACTGTAATACTGTTACCCTTACCCCCGATTTTTCATGAAATTTTTATTTATTTATTTATTTAAAATTTAAAGTTCATAGGTTGTATGAATTTCATACTTTGCAATATTTTTCTCTTTTTCCTGGCTTGATGGAAATTTGTACTCGTGTAGATCATCCTGCAATTACCAGATGATGCAGAAGTGAGCAGTGAGCTCTGGGATGAAGTAATAGATTGTATGAAGTTGCGTGCGGAGGACAAGGTCCCTGTAATCCGTATCTCTGCAGTTAGGGCTCTTTCACGTTTTGCAAGTGATTGCGAGAACAGTGATATTCTTGATCTATTTCTTGATATGCTTCCTCTAGAACAAACTGTGGTAAGTTCCTCCATTGATTCACATACATATGTGTTGTGCAGTGCTGGTGTTAGACTGATAGTCCATCTTCTTTCTCCTATCTGTTGTTTATATTCTTCTTGTAGAGTTTCCTTATTCAACATCATGTCCATGTTATATTATGAAATGCGTGCTTTGTTGAGAAGCATTTCAGTATATTTTGGGTATACTGAAATTTGAGTTGTAGTTACAACAGACACAAGCTTGCATACTCGTTTCCAATGGATGGCTTGTAATACTATTGTTTACCAAAGGATATACTAAGATTGTGTCAACTTTTATGTGTTGGTATCGTATCTCAATGTTATGGTACTTTATAATTCTGCGGAAACTTGCTTCTTAGATATCCAACTTTGGCATTTTTGCAGGAGGTTCGGAAGACAATAGTGCTATCTTTGCCTCCTTCAAATGTAACCGCACAGGCAATCATTGATTCTACATTAGATGTCAGTGAATCAGTGCGCAAAGCAGCGTACTGTGTTCTAGCTAGTAAATTTCCTCTTCAAAGTCTCAGGTAAGTTTATTCCCTTCTTATTGCAGCAGTATTCGAACATCTGATGGAAATACAAGGGTGTAAAGATAAAGATTAGAAGAAAAAAAAAAAAAGAAAAAAAAAAAAAAAAAAAAAAAAAAAAAATTGAAAGATTTTATGAAGAAAGATTTAAATTTTTTTATTATTTTTTTTTACATCAATCAAAATCAATGAGGGCAATCTATAATAAATAAGAAAATCTAGATTGGATTTACCATTATATGGTGATGATTTCAACATTTCTGTCTGATTATTAGTTTAGTCCTTGGCTTTATTAACAGGGGCAGTTATGTTTACCAGTGTCTAGTCATATTTGAGCTACAAATTTCTATATATAAACCTCCACTATGCTAGTTAGCTGGTATATTACTTAAAAGAACATGATTTTTTGGAGGGTTGCCTTTTGTTCTTTTCCCTTTTCTCTCAGTTTTTTTTCTCACTTTCATTTTATTGTTTTTGTAGTATCAAGCATAGAACATTAATTCTTCAGAGGGGACTCGCTGATCGTTCTGTTGCTGTTTCAAATGAGTGTCTTAAATTATTGAAAGATGAATGGCTAATTAAGTGCTGCGGAGGAGACCCTTTAGAACTTCTCAAGTTTCTTGATGTTGAAACCTATGAATTCGTTGGAGAGTCTGTGGCTGACGCCTTGTTAAAAGCTGGTTTAATTAAAGTACGAGATGGTGAAAATATTCGGCAGTACATATCATCTAGCGGTGAGATGACTGAAGGTTTGATAGCATTCTATACCTTTTTGCTTTTTCATTACTTACACGTATGTCCTTTTTATTTTCCTATTCTTTAGTTTGGGTGGGGAAGCAATAAAGGTTCCATGTCCAGGAATGGGACTTACCAATTTAGCATAACTCTTTTCCAGACCCAACATGTTATAACAATCTTGATTACCAGAAACTTGACCATAAATTTGGGATAGTCCTGAGAACAGAAACTCAAGGTCTAGATATTGCCAATGAAGAGAAAACATGTACACAAATGATTCTGCCTCTTGATTTTTGTTGTCTTCTAGACTAGTCATACTGAATAATTCTGCGACACATGCCAAACTGAACATCACGGTGGTTCTAAAGTATGACCTAAATATAAATTGAAGAATACACTTCTTTTAAACATGTCATTATGAAGATCTGGGCTCAGTTCTTCATGAACATGGACTTCGTTGAACGAGTTATATCTTGGTTAAGAAAAAGAGTTCCAGTGAGCTAACTTTTTTATTTTTATGTGTTCCAGTAGTTTTTTCTGAATCTAGTACCTTACATTTGGACATTCTTCTAGTTCTGACGATTTTCAGAAAAGATTGCATTTTCTCTTCGTCAAATATTTGATGCTCCCAAACGTTAATACAATTGTTTGTCTATAGGTAAAAATATTAGCGATGCATCCTTTGATCTATACTAGACACACACATAGACATACTATACTATGAATGTTAGCCTGTTTTATTGATCATGCTTTGGATTCAATGTTAGAAGATTCAGCACGTTGCACACCAAGCATCCAACTAATGGAAGCGGAGGTCGCTCTTTATTGGAGGATGATATGCAGGCACCTGCAGATGGAAGCACAAGTAAGTTTATACTATTTTACTGTGTAATTTTCAAGTGGTTTGTGGTTTAAAACATATAGAATGGAGGGGAGATCATAGCTGACGAGTTAAGGCATATGAAAGTTGAGATAAAGTGGCCAGTGGGTGGTGAAAAAGGCCACATAACCATGTCTGGAACACTCTATTAGGGCATATATTCCAATGACATATTGTTTCTTAATTTACATATACTGAACGAACTGGCCCCTCATTATTTAAGGGTCGCAACTTGTGCTTGAACAGGCAAAAGGCTCTGATGCTGCTTCTACAATGGGCACTGAAGCAGCAGTATATGCGGCAGAAGCTTCAGACAGCAATGACCTTCTTGAGCAAATTCTGCCAGCAACAATTTCTGATTATATAGATTTAGTCAAAGCTCACATTGATGCTGGTGAGTGTAATTAACATTTGATTGGGAACATTGATTTATATCCAACTCTATATCCTAACTTGAAATTACTTACTCAGGACCAAATTATCGCTTTGCATGTCGGCAGCTACTCTTGCTTGGTGCATTGCTTGATTTTTCAGATGCTACAAACAGGAAGGTTGCTAGCACATTTGTGCTGGAACTGCTGCATAAGCCTTTTGACCATGAAGTTGATCAGTATGGGGACATGGTTGTTATAGGAGATGGAATAAATCTTGGTGGTGATAAAGATTGGGCTGAAGCGGTGTCTGGGTTAGCAAGAAAGGTGCATGCTGCTAGTGGTGAATTTGAAGAAGTTGTTCTTGGGGTTGTAGAGGAGATTGCTCGGCCTTGCAGGGAAAGAACAGCTGATTTTATGCAGTGGATGCACTGCCTTGCTGTTTTTGGCCTTTGCTTGGAGAAGGCAAGATCATATCATTGCATTCAAGGGAGAGCTACTGAGCCTGCTGAACTACTGCAATCTTTATTGCTTCCAGCGGTAATGAGCTTATTTCATGCAACTGAAAAACAAAGAATTTGTGTTGTTTGTTCCTTTTGAATTTCAAAAAATTGGAGTGTCTGGTTTTTGTTTTAAGGTGGTTGATATGCCTAACCTCCAACTTAAGAGATAGGAGGGACGCTAACTCTTAAGGTGTAATCCGTTTCTTCTTTTTACTGTAACGACTTTTGGGTAAATAAAACGCACCTAATAATAGGCATGCTTGATGGCGTTTTTCTTTTGTAGGGTTAACAACATCTTTTGATTCTGAATTGCAGGCGAAACATTCTCACTTGGAAGTCCAGAGGATTGCAGTGAGATGCCTCGGGCTTTTTGGGTTGTTAGAGAAGAAGCCAAGCCAGGAACTAGTAAAGCAGTTAAAGGTTTCATTTGTTAAGGGTCCTGCTCCAATTAGCATAATTGCTTGTAAGGCATTATTTGATCTTGGGATGTGGCATAATCTTCGGGAAGTTGATAGGGTGGTGGGCCAGGACGTTTTATCACAACACCAAGATTACGATATAACCTCAAGTCCTTTAAACTTTTCTGATACAGATGGGATATCGAATATTAAATTGCTTGATCTTTTGTACGCTGGGCTTATTAAAGATGATTGGGACAATTCTTTAGCAAGTGATGAAAATGAGTCCGTTCAAGGTGCTCTTGGGGAGGGGTTTGCTAAAGTTCTTCTTGTGAGTGAAAACTACAAAAGCATGCCCACCTCTCTACATCCCTTGCTTTTATCCAAGCTCATTACCTTGTACTTCAGCAATGAATCTAAAGACTTGCATAGGTAGCCTGTTTGCGGCTTATTTATTCTGTATATTTTTCACAAGTATACTCATCGCAATTTAGTCCACATACCAGTTTAATGCTCAAACTTTTTCACCAGGTTGAAACAGTGCTTATCTGTTTTCTTTGAGCATTACCCTTCCCTCTCAGCTAATCACAAGGCAAGTAGTGCTTAGTTGTCTAACATGAGGTTCCTCTTGTATATCCGCATATTGGAGATGATGCCAATAACCTGAAATCGTGTGGTTATTTAAATGCAGAAGTGTATATCAAAGTCCTTCATTACAGTCATGCGTTCTATGTGGCCGGGTATCAATGGCAATGCTGGAGGTTCTGCATATGTGGTTTCTAATATGCGTAAGCGTGCAGTCCAAGTATCACGTTTTATGCTGCAAATCATGCAGGCTCCCTTATATAAAAACGAGACGGAGGATGGAAATGATACCGGGGAAGTACCAGAAGTCATAGAAGAACCTCCACTTGAGTGTGGTGAGGAGGGGCTTGCCATACGCATAGCCACAGAGGTAACTCGATGACTGAATCACCAAATGATTATTATTTTTATGTTGAGCCACAGCTAGAAGTTAATATTTCAACTTCCATAATTTTGGTCTTTTTGCCACTCTGAAGCTGTGATTATGATCATAACTATGAATATCTACTTTTGACTAGGGTTAGAGGCTGTATATAGATAGGTTGGTTTAAGTCTCAGTGATTAAGTCTTATCATCTGCCAACTTAATGCTTGTTCAAGGTTCAAGAATCTATTTTTTTATGCCTGCTCCATAATTGGACCTCAATTGTTTTTGGATCCTATCCTATTCCTTCATACCAAAAAAGGTATTGACAGAAGTCAAGGTAGGAATAAAAGCAGCTAATCCCATCCTTTGGGATGAAGGCTTGTTGAGTTGAGTTTTATGCTATCAATAACCCTGTCACTTTCATTTCATTACTATGCAGATACCCAAAGATAAACTCTAGTTTTCCACACCATTTCTTATCAGTGTCTTAATGAAACATAATGAGCCTATCTAAGATTGTTTATGGTACGCATAGGTTATAGTTTTTGCCCTCTTTTGGCCATTAGTTTTGTTATTACCCTTTCCTTGATTCCTTTTTTTTCTTTTTTCTTTTATTTTTTAAATAAATATCAATGTTACTTTATTTTTTAATAAATAATGAGATAGCTTGAAACAAATTTGTTATTCTTCCAACTCTTAAGTTTCACAAACTGATCTAGCATAGTAGTGAGGATCTTATACATTTTGTAAATCTGTTTGGCAGTCATTGCACTATTGTACTACCTGGTATATTGTACATCCATCCCAAATCCCCAGGCTTAATTGATGCCTTCAGAATGAAGAATTTTGCAGGCTTAAACGTATTGATTACTTGGGTTTATTCTTTATTTAGGTGGCAACCTTCCATACAAAGAAGACACCTGCAGAGAAGTCATATGTGTCAGCATTATGTAGAATACTTGTGTTGCTCCATTTTCGGTTGTCAGAGCAAGGGGCTATCCAATTAATGAGGAGGCTATTAATTCGTGTGGCTGAATCTGTATCGGCAGAGAAAGATCTTGTCAAGGAATTAAGGCGGATGGCTGACCATCTCAAGGCACTGGATAGACAGCCAGATCAAGAAATGTCGCAAGACCAAGCTAATCTTATATTTGGTAAAATCCTTAACTTGTTCATAAGAGTACCATGGAAAGGTTTTTTCATTCATGAAGTTCTAGACATTTGTTTGAAAATATTTCTAACGACTGAAGGTACAAAAATGCTTATAATCTATCCAGAATGAAGGAGCAGGTATTTTTTTATATAATAAACTTAATTTATTTCCTATAAATCTACTGGTTTAGATAACCTCTGCGCACAAGTATTGTGTGCTGCATTGTGGTAATGTTGAGCTAGACTATTGCAGGAGGAATAAAATATGATGTCTGCCATATAAACAGTTTTTCTGCTTACTACTAGTATGCAGCCAAAACACCACCTATTAGGTGTTGTTTCATTGACATATTACATATGGGATTGCATTCATTTGAAGTAGTTTTGGTATGTTTTCCCCCCTGTTTTTCTGGGAGTATGGCATCTCTTCTCTGTTTACAATCTCTATAATTCTTCTGCTTATAAATTTTGTAGGGAGGTTAGAACTAGACTTCAACATGGATTTCAACGTTTCTGTTGAAATGCCACAAACACCAGCTCCTTGCTCAACTAAACCAACCCGTCGCAGGAAACAAGTGAGGCTTGAAGAAGAATCTTCTGATGAAGACAGTTCCCCGACCTCTGTTGTTCCTAATAATCTTGGCACAGTAAGCGCTCGCTCACAGAGGGCAAGCAAGACTGCAGCACTGTCCAAGATGACAGCTAAAACAGCCTTCAGGATCGATGAAGATGATGAAGATGAGGAAGGCTCAGAGGTTACATCGGATGAAGATTCCGATGGATCTGATTAGTTCCTTAAATCAGTGGGTTGGCATGTTAGATTTCTCCATTGATGCAGTGATCATTGCTTAAACATGCTATTTTGTTGTTGTATGGTTGTTTCTCAAATGAATTAGGTTGCAGATTTTGTACATAGATGGGCACATTTGAGTTGTAAAATGTGAAATGTGTTACTCCGGTTGTTCTCAGGCTCACTACGTAATATATAGGCTGGTGAAATTGTATTATGTTTTGATAATGATACTATGACACTATTGCTTGTAGTTTTAAAAAATTTGAGTCAAAACTTATTGCACATTTGTAGTGCCAAATATGTCAGTTTCAAAGATTGAGGTATTTAAAAAATATGGTAGTTTTATTTTGGCTAGACAGACATGATAAGAGGGAGGGGATATAAATGTAGAAATGCTTGAAAACAGCTTATAACCAAGTCAATCTCCAGAAGAGTTTGATGCCATTGTGGCCTCTTCTTTATCCATACAATACATATAAGCATACCATCATCACCTGACAATGATGGATTTTTAATATCAATATGGTGGCCCCTCCTCTACCCAACAAGTAGATATCCTTAAGTTTCTGCGATCACGTCTTGATAATAAAAAAGGGTCCACGTCACTACATCAGCCTTTAACATATCTATTAACAGTTTTCCTAAGGACTCGGTAATTAATTAGGTTTTCTACGAGTTTGAGTATGTAATTGTAAATGTTAAAAAAAATGAGTATGAACTTGAAAATGACCCCATAATTTTGGGAGTCTTTTGTAGTTTGTACCGTAATTTATTATGCCTATTTTCATTCAAATAATATTCCAATTTATGTATACATAATTCTATTGTCTTAATATTTTTTAATCAATTGGAAGATTTTCCTTTTACGTGTCATAGTTGAATAGGGTTGATGCCTATATCAAGGCCTATCTTAGGACTATAGTCTAAAATATCGATAATATCGACGAAATATCGAGGATATTATCGTTTTTTCGGGTCACGGATATTTTGAAACGTATCCATACACATATTGTATAAATATCGATAATATCGAAAAATATCGATGTCGATAATTTCACTCACACTTCAGCAATATTTTGTCAAAATATTGATATAATATCAAAAATATCGAAAATATCGATGTAATGAAAAAAAAAAAAAAAAAAAAAAAAAAAAGAACTCAAATCACACACAAGGGGATTCAAACCCTTGCCATTTCACTCCTTCCAACACCTTAACCACCATGTTACTTATGTTTTTGTGATAATATGCTAAAATATGTATATTTATATTGTTTTGTTCTGAACAATTACATGCAAAACTATTTTGGGGGTTTATCATTTGATGACTACTCTTTACAATAAACTTACTCTACACATAGAAATGATGAAGATAGTGAAAAATTTGAACCTCATAAGAACTTTGTGTGGTACTAAGTTACTCATGTATCTTACCATACAATGTATAAAGTGTAAAAAATATTGTAGTAAATCATTATATATAAATGATTATGGTGTATTTAATCTTCTTTCATTAATTACTACATATTTTCTACACTCACAGTGTTTGTCAGCTCACTATATAATCAACTTAAATCAGTTTACCGATCATGCAATGCATTTCATTCCAATTTTTTGTGATAAACTAATACATAATTGACTGAATAAACATCATCCAAAGTTTCAATAAAAATTTCCAAGTTTTTCTTATAATTTCCGTTGTTTTTATTCAATTTTTATCGATATCGATAATATCCCGATATTTCCATAGAAATTTTCTTGTTTTTGAACTAGCGATATTTCCGATACCATCAATATTTTAGACTTTGCCTAGGACTGTATTTTGAATACTTGTCATATTATTAATAAAACTTGAGACTTTTCTCAACATGGAGAAATCCATTTGATCTCTTGTTATCGGATTTGACATTAATCTAATTCATTCATCTTGTTTCGCGTGCCCCACGAAAAAATTTACCCCCTTAAGTGGGGGAGCTAGGAATTCTATTAAGGAGGGTCAACTTTAATTAATACCTTTATAATTACAATAAATTTAGTTTTTATAAGAAAATATATTTATGAATTCATTATAATGATTAAATTTCAATATAAAAAATTTAATATCTTAGTAAGTATAACCTAAATTCTAGAAACCAAAAAATAATGAGAGAGTATAAAAAGTTGATTTTAGATATAATGAGAAAATCAAATAAAATCCATGGCACACACATATAAATGACATATGAAGATATGAAAACAAATATAGATCATATTCATGTTCATTGTAGACAATTTACATTTGTGAGAAGGATCAACACTAAGAGCATCTCTAACCGATGTGTCAAACGTGCCATATAGACACTTAACAGCTAGAAATAACATTTCACATCACTCCAACCGATATGTCAAAGCTGATGTGGAATGAAGGCTGGAGGTTGATATGTTATTTTTGACATCCCAAAAGTAAAATGTCAAATGAATATTTTATTATTTTTTCTTTTCTTTTCTTTTAATTAAAAATGAATCAACACTAAAATGTAATAAAATAATAATTTAATTTGACATATCGGGTGGAGTGTAAAATTGTGTAAAATGTCAAATTGCCACATCAACCATCAAATTTTTGATATTTGACATCTCCCTTGTAGATGCTCTAAGTATAGCTATAAAACAACTTAGATAACATAGATAATATATAAGGTTTTCAAAATATTGAGAAGGATCGAAAGACCCTTGTGGGCCTTAATTGGCTCCGCCAATCCCTCCTTGTAGCTTCCTCTCTCTTGGCTTCCGAGATCATCATCTTCAATTTACCTAATGCATTATCATGAATGCCTGGAAGTAGTAAGAGCAGACTCACACTTCACCATTGAAGGCGTTGTTCAACTTATAGGACTGCCACCTCAATATATCAAAAAGGGCATCTCTTACTTTCTATTTATAGAAGAGATCAGTCGTTCACCCTAATGCAACCAAATCAAATTGGAAATTTCCAGTTATCTTCCACTACGCAACGGATAAAAGTTGTTGTCGATGCGTTCAACATAGCGATGTGTTGGTGACTGATGTCTATTACAACGTAGTAGGCATCAACTTTTACCTTATGCGCATATTCATGTAACGACATCAGTTCCTCCAATGATACCGATGTTTGGGAGGCTACCATTACCTAAAACTCCAACAACATCAATGACTTACAAAAATAAACAGTATACAGCCGTTGTTGTAGGGAAGTCTGTCTCGATTTCCCGAAAACATACAAAAACAATGGGTAATAAAAAATCAATCCCACAGGCCACGGCCGACATGTCGCCGACTAATCGTGCATCACGTCAAAACAATCCGATTGAATTTCATTTGTTTGGTTTTCCTTCCACCAATACTTACGTGCAAAATTGGCAAGTCACGTCTAGGGATCTAGAATATTTACATTATTTTATTTTAAAATTAAAATGGGCCTGCCATGACCACTCTAAATCTTGACGCTAGCATGCATGTACCATGCATTAATGAATATAATTATTGGGGAAAAAAAGAAAGAAAAAGAAAAGGTAAACACATAATAAATAAATAAAAACAATAAAGAATTGTAATTGTCTTGATATGTGGGCGTGACGATGGTGCACTGCTTTTACACCAGGAGAGGCGTGAGTTTCGCCATTGTCAAAAGAGAAGACAAAAGCATTTTTGTGGTATTTTTCAATTGAAAGGTCGTTTTTTTTCGGCTAGAGGTCGGTTTTTAATGCTTTAAAAAGCTTCCAAAAGGTTGTCTTGGATAAGATTTCTTCTAATGGGGACTTGAGGTTCACATACTGTTACAAGTCCCTCTCTCTCTCTCTCTCTTGGGGAAAAAAAACAAAAAAGAAAAAGAGAAATGCGAAAGGAAGAGATTGTGAAAGAAAAAGCCAAAGAAAGGGCAATTACAACTTGTACCAAAAGCATTTGTGATTAAGAACAACAACAAAAGCAAACAAACTGGTCGACTGCAGAGTTACTGTTTAAAATTAGGTCCCTATCATTTGTCAAAAATGGTTCTGTTATTCTTCTCTTAAGCTCTAGTGATCATCTAATATGGTACCTGTGGAAGCAAAATAAAATCACTCCCACATAAATAAATAAAACTTTTTTTTAGTACAAGTGATAATGAGGAGAGATTTTTCACATACACATAATTATATGATGTCATGGAGATTCGAACTTGAGATCTCAGGTCTGCAAATCAAGACTATTTTCTACTGAACTAAACCCCATTAGCAGTACCAAATTAAGCTTTAACAAGAGGTTTTCCGCTCAAAATTTCTTAGAATTTTAAAGTTTATGGATTGTAATATATTTTTCGAGAGACAAATATGATAACAGATTCCTTAGCCAGTCTTATTCACAACCATGTAAGGAATCTGTTTTGTAGTTTAATTTTGTTGATAAAAAGTTGGGACAAAACGAAATAATATTTGAAAGGAAAGAAGGGATGAACAGTATTACATACATTAACTAAAAACTATAAATTAAATATGAAAAGCTAGAATCTTATCACGTCGATTCACGATCCACTTTCACTTTAAACGAACAGAGTGATGAATAAATTATTTAATTGGAGAGAGAGACAGAGAGAGAGAGAGAGACAGAGAGGGACAATGGTAATGGCCACTGGGAGGAAGGAAGGGACCATTTCTTTCATTTCATTGGTTAATTATTGTTATCTTGTAAATGGTGTGGCATCGCATGCAGTCGGCTACGTGTCCCTGACTCACTCACAGCCTAACTTTTTTCCCATTTCGCTATCAAATAATTTTCTCACTTTTTCACAATTTCACTTAACTTACGTTTAGCTCTTGATTGGTGTGTGTTTTGTTTGTACTTAATTTGGTCGCTTTCTTTATCTTTTTTTATCATAAGAGAAGAAGAAAAAAACTACTCAAGAAACTCAGCACCACGTACGACTGCAATCCAATTTACAGAAGTCAGCCGTTAAGAATCTTCAACAAAATTTTAGATTCTAACAAAAAGAAAATGGATTCAGATTTGGATTTAGGTCAATTTGATTCGAATCCGATGAGTTTACGAACTTAAACCGACAGGTTGTAGGACAAAGACAACATGTGTGCATGATCCTTTAGTTATTATTATGAGAAGAGAACACTGTGAATATATAAGACTTCAATTTGGATCTCTTGGTTAGTGTTGATTGTAAAAGTCCACGATTATCAACCACTAGATTAAAATTCAAAGAGGGGAATTAGTTCTAAATGCAAAACACATTGTTGTCATTTGAATCGAATTTGAATGTCAACTATTGATTTTTTTTATTTAACAATTAATGATTATAAAAAATAAAACAAAACAAAACAAAATTATATGGTCTGGTTTGATTCATAGTTTAAACTTCATGTGGTTGAAATTCTCATGTTTAATCTCACCTCGACAACAGTTTTAAATGCAAAACACTTTATTGTTACTTGAATCAAATTTAAATGTCGAATATTGAATTTGGATTAAACAATTGGTGATCAAAAGAACAAAACTCTATGAGACTTATACTTCATCATTATAGAAATCCAACCATTTAATAGATTTGAGAATGAAATTTTAAGATAGGATAAATGAACTTAGGCCATCTTCAGTTATATGGCTAAATGTAGTCTAGTGCTATAAATTTAGCCCTCCAAATTTTTTAAAGAATAGTGCATGGCTAAAATTTTACATCTCCAGTCATGTATAGCTATATTTTAGGGCCCTTCATATTTTATTATTTTGATAAAAACTATAGTACAACACTCATATATTTTATAACTATGTATTGTTTAATTTAATTAAACTACTATTTATAGACAATATTGTCTAATTTATATCCCACAAATTTAAAACATTTAAAAAGGTTTTAAATAAATAACTTTTCAATCAATGATTCTAACCACCAACGGTAAAAAACCAATTATATATATATTAAAAAAATTAACTTAAAAACATTTTAAAAGGTTATTAAAAAAAAAACCTAACGACTAGCTGACGTCATTAATGATGTCAGCGGGCGCCTTTAATATTGGTTATTGGATTTGCAGTTGCACGAGATGATTCCTACTCTTACCTACGCATGATCCTTTCTCTTCTTGAAAAGTACATACGTTGGGTCTACACAAAAATTTGGCCTATACCAAAGTTGGGTTAGAAGTGGCCTGATTGGAGTGCTAAAGGGAGAAATGTGGCCCTTCAAATTTGGCCAAAATTTTTTTTAACCCATAACTAGAGATAAGTTTTACATTATTTTAAGGGTATTTTTAACCCATGACCATGGCTGGAGATGCCTTTGGTAATATTAGCCCTACTTTTTCACTTGTAATATGAAACGCAAGGAGTTTAAGGCTGACTAGATAAAGGTACCCTTGACATATAGGCAACGTAATTATAAGGGGTAGACTGGGTGGTTCAGCCGTCCCTTCATTGGATAACAGAACACATGTCGTCAATCAATATTCAAATAATTCATCTCCTTTATTTTTTATTTTTTATATTTGTGGTCAGGATTAATGTAAAACCAAATAAAATATATGTTTTCGTTTTCAATAATAAACTATGGGTTTTGATTTCCAAATATTCTGTTTCTTTTGATTTTTTGTTTATAAAAGATGGGTGAGTTTTAGTTTGGTTCCATTCCAAGAATCCATCTGAATAACAAAAACATGGTTGCTTTGGTACCTCAAGAAAATATGGTTGCTTTGGTATCTCGCACTGGCAGGCATTTGCAGCGATACAGTAAAGGTCGTCGCCAAGTTGTAGGGTTCGTCTCCTCTCTCTCTCTCTCTCTCTCTCTCTCTCTCTCTCAACTTTGTGTTGGGAGTTTTGAGTTTTTCATTTTCTTTTTGTTGGTTGCTTTTGGAATGAAGGGTTATATATTACTGCATTACTGGTTTTTGAAGGTGGGTTTTAGCTGGAAAAGAAAACAGTAATTGATGAGTGGCAATGAGTGTTCATTATGGATTATAGGGAACCAAAAGTATATGCTATCTGATGGAGAGAGAGAGAGAGAGAAAGAATCATAGGAAATTTGAGGTTTATTGAGTCTTAGGATTTGATTGTTTTGGTTATTGAACCAAAGTTTGGCCTTTTGCAGATGTATTCCATACAGATATAAAACTTCCAAGCAGACTCCCTCAAAGCATGATGCACCAGAACTAGAAGTTCTTGTCATTACTTCACAAAAAGGCAAAGGAATGCTCTTTCCAAAGGTGCCCAAATCTTCTTTTCAATCAAAGTAATTAATGATGTATTTTTTTGCATTATTAATTCAGTCAATTTAAAATCATACAATTTGTTCATAACAGGGAGGGTGGGAAATAGATGAATCCAAGGAAGGGGCAGCCTCCCGAGAGACGCTAGAGGAAGCAGGAGTAAGAGGATTCATTGAGGTTAGTTTCATCTTTTCTGTTACTTGTATTTAATTAGATGTTGTGATGTTCTTTGTGAAAACCTTTTTTTCAAAGATTTTTAATTTTTTTAAATAATTTTTTTGCAGGGTGAACTGGGTAAATGGATCTTCAAGAGCAAAAGCCATGATGCTTACTATGACGGTTACATGTTCCCTTTACTTGTTCAGGAGCAGTTAGATTTCTGGCCAGAGAAGAATCTCAGACAAAGGATTTGGGTATGTGATTAACTTTATATGTACTTTGGTCATAATTTTTTTGATTGCAATTGCTGATTTTATTTGGAATTATTTTTGTGATAGATGAGTGCTCAAGAAGCAAGAGAAGTTTGCCAGCATTGGTGGATGAAAGAAGCCTTGGATAGGTTAGTAAATCGTCAAACATCTCAGCAACAAAATCAAGACCAAGAATTAGATCATGTTCTTAAAGCTAGGAGGGAAAATCTGATGGCATGTATGTAGAAAAAAAAGTATTTAAGGACTTTTCCCTGTTAGACAACAAGGATCTAGGCAGAGAGAGTACTATAGGTTTCAAACAAGCAAGAAAAATTGACACCTGAAAAGAACTGGTTCTTGTTTTGTTGGAAGTCCCAGTTCCAGAGCTTTTGTTACAATTAATCATCTCGGTTGAGGCAAAATCTGGGCAAGGTTGTTTCTAATAATAAGAGGTTCCATTTTCACACTTGTATTTTTAATAAGAATCTTAAACTGCTGCTAGAAAAAATCGCTTATAAAGCAGAAGAAGTAGTCCCAAACGAGCCTTCATAAAATTATATGCCGTCTTCCAACTCTGACTAACTACTTAGTAATACAACCAACACAATCTGCTGAATTGGCCTTTAATGAATTAAGACAAAACCGATTTTTGTGCGCTTCTGATTCGGTCTCCTGCTATGGCATCCTATTGCCTCTTGGGACATTACAAGTTGATCCTGCAAATCTTCCTTCAGCAAGTTGATGACAACCTAGAATTGTTGAAAGTAAAGTCCTCCACACCACATCAGCATTTTTAGAAGGACTTGACATAAATTCGGTGGAAGAGAATTGTGGACATGTTTGGTCCACGCTTGAAGTCCATGGAAATTAATGGCTGAGGCAAGCCAGGATTAGCCCCACTTGTTCATTTTTATTTTTTGCCAAAGTTAGGGAAGAGGAGGGGGATTTTTTCATACACACTACCAAGGTGTTATTGGAGTTCGAACTTGAAACCAATGATCTAAAAGTTAACGCTCTTTTTCCTTAGGCTAAACCCAGTTGCCACATGTTCAGTTTTATTTCACTGAGCACAAGTATCCGTATTTTGGTAATCGACCCACAAAGTTATGCAAAATCATGCTTCATAACAGCTAGAGATCTCCTTCTGATAAGCTCAAAAGGCCCAAGTTTTACAATTTTGAAAGTATCTCTAGATCCACCCAACTGAAAGTCACATTGAAAGGATGGTAGACAGAGCAACAAGTTACCCCACCAATAGAAGCCCAACCTATTTACTCGAGACACCCACTTTGTCTCTGGAAACACCCAAAATAGAAAACCCAGTCATCCTTCTCATTCATCCCCTCAAGCCCCAACCCAACAAGAAGACTAGTGGGGGTTAACATGGGGTAAGTAAGATTAAAAACACCAATAAAAGTTACAACAACTAGGAATAAGCTGTTCACCAATTACCACAGGTACTGATGATTGATGCAGCATATGGCCTTCAATTGTTCTTAATTATAGACGACCTTTTATCTAAGAGAGTAAACTGAAAATGACAATGGCCGTCTGGACGATTTCTAAACCACAAGCGTTAACTGTGGAGTGGTGGGCATGAAGAGACCGAAGACAAAATACCATAAATTTAATACGACATATACATTACTGAATTGGACACACAAACCCTATCGTCCCCTCTCATTCTTTGTTCTGAACTTCTGAAAGGAAACAAAATTAATTAATTAACATACACAGCTTGCACCCCCACTACTTCATCTATACATACTTTCAGAGAGAGAGAGAGAGAGAGAGAGAGAGAGATGTAACAAACGAAGAAAACAATATATGATGGCAGAGAAACCACAAGTGTTTGTTGTGGAGTGGGAGCTACAAACTGTATGCATTAAATTCTGACTGCCCCATTCTTTATGTGTAGTCGTAGAGTAGTGATCAGAACCAGAAGTTTATTTAGGGTACCACAGACAGACACTTTGAACAGCCATGAAAGTCCTTGATGTTTTGCATGGGCCTTGAATTAATCTTCAATGAATTTAGTGTATGACTTCAACAATTATTAAAGATTTAAGGGGCTAGGTTTGTATTGATAAGTTTGCTTAATCTTGGACTTTTTGAAGGTCTAGTCTCATGACCGACCCAACCCATTTTACAGGCCTAATCTTAACACGTTTCTTTTTATTTTAGTGTTCTTTAGTGGGGGACCGAACAACATCTCGTGAGTTTTGTGAGGGTGTCAAGGCCCACATAGAATTGCTTCAAATTCACATGGTGTTCTAACTTCCATGACAAGTACATAACCTAAACCTAACCCTTGAGCTTGAGGGAAGATATATTTTACACTCAACAAGATAATTATAATTTAACCTGTGCAAATCACCTCCCACATCTGTCATTTTTTCCCTTCATGCTTAGAAACAAAACTTCCATATTTTTTACAAGCGATAGTCTAAACTACACTGAGAAGAACAGTTTCTCACACACACACACATTATTAAGGTGTCATGGGGTTCGAATCTAAGACCATTAGCCTTCATGTCAATGCTTTTTTTCACTAGGCCAGACCCCATTGGCAACAAAACTTTCACCTTATAGCTAAAGAGCATGTAGTGCTATTTTTTGCCAAGTTTGCTCATAAATTGAACTCAAACTGGTGTAGAGGCGTTTCTTTCTCCTGAAGTAAGCTGTCCTATAAAGTTAGATGATGAGAGAGCACAATTATGGTGCGATGGGCACAGTTGTGTTTGTGTCTTCACTCGAAAAAGGTCCATGTATAATTCATGGTGAAGGTCTATACCTATGATTCATGGACCATCAAGAAATTCTAGAAAATGAAAAGGCGTCATCCCTTTTGTGTCTTGAGGTCTTATATTAAACTGAATATACCAAAAGTGACAAGGTGAGAATAAATATTTACAATAATGCTACAGTCATCTAAACGCTTTCTCAAGTTTTACACCATGATCTCTGTTGTGACACATTACACAACACTTTAACAGTGACCTACTGCACTTTTCAATATCTGATGTAAGTCCTTAATTATTTGCAAATATATCAAATGAACATGGATATTTCTCTTGGGGTCAAGCCAAATAATCATCAGCGGAAGATATTTGACCTCTGCTATTGCAAAGACTTCCAAGTGGACGTCCAAATACATGTAATTATTTGCAAACCACACGTATTTAGCAAACTTTTGGTTTGATAATATACATTATCGATCGAATATTACTGTAGCTAGAATGAATATGGATAGTATGTTTGACATGTCGTAAAAACAGTCCACATTCTGAAAAGATAAAGGTGTAACATTTTTTTGTAATAAAAAAAGGTACAACTTTGTGTATATGCTATTAGTTTTTTGTTTCTTAGAAAATTGCCCCCCAAAAAAAAAGCAGCAAATTATTAGTCTCTTATTAAGGGGTTTAAGCTCCAACGTTAATGTTCCTAGCTAGAGACTAGTACAGATTTGCCAACGTTCTCATTACCCCTCTCTCTCGTCCCAAAAAATGGTCGGAACAACTCTTCTCTCCTTCTTTACAGTCCTTGTTTCTCTCTCATGTCTCTACAGTCCTACAAGTTCCTCCTCTACAGACTCCTTTGTGTTTGGAGGCTGCACACAGCAAAAGTATGCACCCGACTCGCCCTACGAGTCGAATCTCAACTCACTCCTCACCTCCCTGGTCAACTCGGCCACCTACTCCTCCTACAACAACTACACCATCATGGGCTCAAGCCCTCAAGACGTCATCTACGGACTCTACCAATGCCGTGGTGACCTGGCCATGCCCGACTGCGCCACGTGTGTTGCTCGTGCAGTGAGCCAAGTAGGGCACCTCTGCTCCTACACCTCCGGTGGCGCTCTTCAGCTAGAAGGATGCTACATCAAGTATGATAACACTAGTTTTTTGGGCGTGGAGGACAAGACTGTGGTGTTGAAGAAATGTGGGCCGTCGATTGGGTATGATGCCGATGGAATGGGCCGTAGAGATTCAGTGTTGGCGGCCTTGGTTGGGTCCAGTGGGCCATATAGGGTTGGTGGGTCCGGGGAAGTGCAGGGTTTGGCGCAATGCGTTGGTGATTTAAGCTTATCGGAGTGTCAGGATTGTGTATCGGAGGCAATCGGACGGGTTAAAAGCGAGTGTGGTGGAGCTGTTTATGGTGATATGTTCTTGGCCAAGTGTTATGCTAGGTACTCAACTGGTGGATCTAATTTTTACTCCAAGGGCCATCATGGTAAGTTACACTTAATTTGCTTTTATGATCGTATTATTTAACGAACAAATTTAATGTCTCTAACATTATTGATCAAAGAAACATATAGCGTTTGTGGATATAACTTCTTTTTTTTTGGGTTCTCGTTTTTCAACAATATGAATGGCAGATAAATCTATCAATGATAGTGAGAAGACATTTGCTGTTATTATTGGACTATTGGCTGGAGTTGCTCTGCTCATCGTTTTTCTTACCTTCGTCAGAAAGGTGTTCGGGGGAAATGGTACGTAGAATCTTCATTTGATTGCCTTTCTTTTACCCTAATTTCTCCTTTTTTTTAATTGTTTATTATTATTTTCTGGTTCATATTTTATTATTAATTTCCATTGGCTTTAGGACCAGAAAGCAGATAGATACTGTATATTCAGGGATATGTTAACATAATGTTTTTGGGTGTTGCTTTTTTATGTGCAGGTAAATAAATAATGAGCTTGCAAAGTTATTGGCTTCCGAAGTGATTTGCTTTTGGTTCTCTTTTTTCTTCCTTATGTCTACTTTCCTCTCCCTCTTTAATCTTTATGCTGTTTTCTTTGATATAAGATCATGTTTTCTCTCGGAAAGTAGAGTTCTTAGAAAAGATGGAAAAGATGGAAAGATGTACGATGGGGCACTTACCCAAAACAAAGTTGAGAGGAGGGTGGGTGACAAAAGGAGGCTCGAGATTCCAATCTCCCCTCCACTTGATAAAAGTGTGTTGTCTAGTATGAAAAAAAATTGGCATATTCTTTTTGTAAAAGCACAGATGATCTTTTTTCTTTCTTTTTCTTTTTGTGATTTCTTAAATATATGATTATTTTGGGCTTTATAAAATGTCACCATATAATTCATTTTGTATGGTTTCTTCATGATGAAGCTTTGCTATAATTTAAACATTGCTATCCAAGGAAAAGGAAATTTTGTTTATCACTCACTCCCTCATTAAGGTAAAGATAAAATACAAGGAATCAAATCCAAACTATTTGTTAAGTCCAATAAAAAAAACATTTGCGCACCCATCTATGAAGATTTTAACTTAGGATGTATAAACTTATAACTTACCTCGTGCTCTCTTATCACCGAGTCTCTGAGTTATGGACCTATTGACAACATGAAAACTACTCTTTCATTATTTTTAACAACCCAGAGTATGAAATTTCATTTCACCATATGTTTTAAGTGAACATCATACTTTTATTTTTTGGGTCAAAGTGAACATCATACTCAGAAGAAGAATGAATGTAGCATCCAATCAGTGGCGGTTCTATAGCAAGGGCAGGGTAGGCAGCTGCCTACCCAAATTTTTTCAAAACAAAAAAAAAAAAAAAAAAAAAAAAAAAAAATAAACAAAGTTATGTAAGCAAACTTACCCTATCCTATCTAATGGTGTGAACCCATGCCTATCCAAACTTTAGAGCAACCCACGTGTTATATGGCCCAGTCAAACTTAAAAAAAGAAAAGGGGGGGAAGCAATATAAGTAAGCAGCCAATTCCCTTTTGGCTGTGCAATAGTCGCAATCCCAAATCATTATTTTTTGCAGTTTCTTCTTGAGTCTGGACATTATCTCTTGGTAGCATTTTCTCATATCTAAAGCCAATAAGTATTCTTCTATTGGCTTTTTCCTAAAATAAATGTATGCATCTTAAGTTTTTTAATAGTTTAATTTAGTTTTAGATTTAAATAGTTTAGTTTTTCATTGCATTGCATTAATTAGTTTTTTTTTTGTTTTTTTTTGTTTGTTAAGTTTTTACATATGAGGGTAAATCTCATTACGCTCTCCCTGACTAGGTGTATTTTTTTATTTTTATGAATGAAATTCACTCGTATCGTCGAGTTTTTAAGGTAAGTTTCGTCTACCTGACTTTTGAATCCTAAATCCGCCACTGCATCCAATAACGATTGCTACTGAACAAAACTACATAGATTGACAATGAAGGGAGAATCAAACTTGTGCACACCAAGGTCAAGATTATGGCAGCCTATAACATGCAAGCCCATCAGGAAATTGGCAATGCATCAACAACATGGAAATTGGTCATCATCCTTTAAACTTTTTGAGTCAATTGGCGAGATGTAAAAATTATTAATGTTTGGATTCACATAGCTGATGTCCATAGCAAATTTCTCAAGAATTCTACCCTACTCTTTTTTTCTTTTTGAGTAAGTTCGCCAAAGACCCAAACCAGCAAAATAGATCATAGAATGACCCATGGTTTTTAGACCCATGAAAAGCCCAAATACGACAGAGATGTTGCTGGAACGTCGTAGAAGATAATACCTTGGAAACTGAAGAAGGGATAAGAAGTTTTCAATAGAAGCTTCTGGGTTCTGTCAGATGAGTCCAATAGTATTAGTAACCGGTCATCCACGCCATTTTTATTTTCTCCATTGTTCACATCAACACCAAACCAGAATACACGGAAGCTTCAGAGACAGACCAAGTAAACAAACAAACAATGGCAGCTGATGGCATTTTTGGGTACCCATTGAGGCGCTTCCTCTGGAGCCCTCCGATTTTCCGAGAATGGTCAGGATCAACGGCCCTCATGGACTGGCTTGAATCTCCTAATGCCCACATATTCAAAATCAATGTTCCAGGTATACATACATACCACTTTTTTTCCCAGTCGAGTCAATCCCAACTGGGATTTACCCTTTTTTTTTCCTTTCTGGTTTTTGCTCTGTTTTCCTTCTTGCAGTTCATTTTTTCAAACTGAAATATTAGTGGGTTTTATGAGTTTAGCTCATTTTCTTTAGCTCCTTTGCCTCGAAATATTAGATTGTAATCTTAATTGGGTTTTTAGGACTGAACAATTTTTTGTGACTAGGGTAAGTAAATTGGGCACGGTTTTTTTTATCTTGAGACTGAGCGATTTGATGAAAATATATATAGGTTTCAGGAAGGAGGACATAAAAGTGCAGATAGATGAAGGGAACATTCTGCAGATAAAAGGGGAAGGAGGGAAAGAGGAGGCTCACCATGCAAAAGACACAGTTTGGCACGCGGCAGAGAGAGGGACGGGGAAAGGAGACTTTACTCGGGAAATTGAATTGCCGGAAAATGTGAAGGTGGATCAGATAAAAGCTCAAGTGGAGAATGGAGTTCTCACCATTGTTGTCCCTAAAGATGCAACCTCCAAGCCATCTAAAGTGCGAAACATCAACATCACCAGCAAGCTCTAAGCACCACCACCACCACCACCTAGCCGTTCACGAGAATCAAACCAGAAGCATCGAATGCTTGATCATGTGTTTGATCATGTGTCATGTATTGTGCTTTAACATGTAACAATAAATATATGATTATATATGCGTGCATATGCGTATACTTCCTCAGTGTCGTTATAATGCACTAGGGTAAAGAAAATTACACTCTCCAAAAGGTCACACGGAAAATCAATGCAGAAGATATGGGACACAAGCACAACCCAAAGCCAATCGGATAACAACCATACAGCCCAAAGCCAATCGGATAACAACCATACAACCCAAAGCCAATCGAATGAACACCAAGAAATTGGAGTGAACCCGAGATGTGACTCTCGCATCTTCCGAGATTTATGTGAGAGATAACGTTTAGGATTCAACGTTACGTTACAATCCAATGGAGAGGCAAATACGAATTTGGAGAGGGAGAACCTGAGTTACAGATAGAGAATAGAGATTTGTGGAAGAGAAGATCTATTGGGTGGGATAAGGAGGAAGGAGCAAGGTTAGGACTATGGAGTTTGTGGGGAAAGGGGGAACATTGGGAGGGCTGGGTTGGTGGAAATATGGGTCAACTAAGCTGCAATGAGGCATGAAGCCTAAAAATTGAGCAAGAGCTTGACAAACAACTAGTTCTCAGGAAGGAGAGAGCTTCGAACCAGACAAAAAGGATGTGGGAGCAAATAATTCAGCTTCCAACCATAAGGCGCCACGTGGATAAGAAGAATATTTTATAGATTAATTAATTAAGTTCATTTATTGGTTAATTAATTAATACTACAAATAGGAGATATTATCTTTATTTAATAAGATAATATCACACATTTAGATATTATCCTAATTCGGAGATATCATCATCAATTAGTGATCTGATCCCAATCAAATTCCTATTTGATTCAATCTCTACAATTTGAGGAAAAAAATATTTTCCTTCCAAATAACATTTTCTTTAAAACTCAAGATGCCTAGAGCCCTATAAATACATGGCTACATTCGATAAGGTAATCATTCTCCAATCCCAAAAATCTAGCAAAAATACCCCGACTCCTCTCTCTCTCTCTCTCTCTCTCCAGCCGATGACACCAACACTACCGCCGGCCACGCCTCTCTCATATCTCCATATTTTCATACACGGCTCTGATCACCACATATGACTCTCGCCACCCGGTTCTCTCCTTAGAGAAAACTCCGTACCTTTTTTTAGCTATTGTTTCTCATAGATTCAAAATAACTAACCTAGGCATCAGAGGGCCTTTGCTTGACACCATCGAGTGTGGTCTATTTACTCTCTTTTTTTTTTACAGGAATCGAGGAAATGAGAGAAGTAAGTTCAAAGATGGAATGATCTTCAAGCAGATATTCTCCCGTGAGAATATTTGCACAAACAAAGGTGTTGAAGAATATAAAAGTCCTACATCGAAAACTTAACTAAACAAATTACAACATTTAATAAGTGGTTCCACTACTAACAATATTGAGACCTTTTGTGATAAGACCCCACACATACTGGGCTATGTAGTTGGTTATGTATAGAGCAATATTGGTGTTCGTAGTAATGGCCCGATGATCAGGTTATTTGAAATGTAACATGGTATCATAACTCACTTATTGACTGAGTCTTTATCCTTACTTATGTGATGTTCACATGTTAGAGCTTGCTTGTTTACCTTTACTCTTTACTCAATACCTGGTGTTCACATGTTAGGCTTGATTAATTGACTTCAATGTGGACTAAGCTCCACGCATTGCCCACTATGTATGTGGTGGTTCCTCATAAGGGAGTGCATGGAAGAATATAAAAGTCCAACATTGAAAATTTGACTAATAAAAAATAACGTATAATGAGTGGTACCACTACTAATAACACCAATGTTTTTTATGATAAAACTCCACACCTACTTGGCTGTGTAAGTGATTAAGCTGGAGATAATATTAGTGTCGTTAATAGTGAGTTTGTTGGTCTGTCTTTATGAAATTTAACAAAAGACATATATGACTTTTGCTATGAGAGAGACTTGAGACAAAAGACATATATGCCTTTTGCTGTGAGAGGGACTTGAGAGACCTCTCAAAATGTGAAGGAATGAGGAGTGAGGAGAAGGGCAGTGACCTCCTCCTCAGTGCTCAAATTGTGCTTGTGCAACTAGGAAGAGATCTCATGATAGGGTTCTTTCAAGCAATTAATGTTTGGCACACCAAAGTATATTACTATATGTATGTCTCTATCTCTTCACTTGATTATATATATATATATATATATATATAAATAAAGAAAAAAAGAAATCAAAGCAAAACATAACCCAAATGAACCACATATTAGAAAGTTCTTCCCATGATAGGGTTCTTTCAAGCAGTTAATGTTTGGCACACCAAAGTATATTACTATATGTATGTCTCTATCTCCTCACTTGATTATTGTAAATTAAAAAAAGAAGAAGAAGAAATCAAGGCAAAACATAACCCAAATGGACCCCATATTAGAAAGTTTAGTCTACATTTTCTATATGAGTTGAACTCTTGAAGGAAGTTGAGGTTTTCACTCCAAATTAGAAATGTTTTGGGGGAAGGGGGTGGGGATCCATTAATTGAACTAATAGTCAATATGTTGAGGTTTGATATCTACGTGCAAGATTTTCAAGATTGAGTACTAGTTGAAACGACTCCCAAAAGTTGTGTAATTTTATATAACTAACCCTTTTTTTAAATATAATTTATTATCAATGTTTTAGAACTTGGAAGAAAAGGTATGAACTTCCTACGTGTGATTACTATTTTTATTAGGTGTTCTGGCCAAACTAGCCATGCAAATAGAAGAGATGACTTTGTAAATTGTAACATTCATGCTTTAAAGATTGAAGCTAGCTTTCAATCAATCAATCAAAATAATACGAACTCATTTCTTCTTAACATTCATATCATTTTCTCCAAAAGATAGCTTTCATTCAAACAAATTTTTTTTAAAATTTTCCTTCTGGTTTGACAATCACAAGTTAATACAAGAGATGATTTATCGTTGATACAATTGGGTATAAACTACAACAAAGTAATCTTTGAGTCTAAGATTGTAGCTAAAGGACGACGAGTGGAGTACATGTTAAAGACATACATGAAAAGCTGATGTAAATTTAAGAATGAATTCATTGTCCTCAAACGACTATAAGCTTATGCTAAAAGGCATATCTTGGTTTGGCCTTTTTTGGTTGTTTACACCTAATCATTAATTATAAAAGGTTTATGATAATTGAAGATTTGATTAGGATTTTGTAATCAATAAGATTTCATTACCCAAATTCCATTTCCAATAAATCACCGTTTTATTTAAAAACAAAACACAATTAATTATTATTTTTTTTTTTTACTATAGATGGCCAAGCAATTAATTAGAACCTACCAGAAAAATATCTTGATGCAATCCCTAATTGCCCGTAGACATTTCTTATTGAGAAAGGTAAGATCATCGCGTCCACCTTGGAGCTCGAAGAAAGGTTCAAAATCCCTTTGGACCGATGTAATGTTCATGGTCCCCATTTTTGAAGCTTCCTTTGATTGCCCCTTAATCTCCTCAAACTCGAAACTCCAACCATTTCCCACATTTTTCTATGTTCAGAAAGTCAAGTGGCTGCATTATTCCTATCTACACCTGCCTGTACTGTATCACCCCCTCTTTATATGACAACTCTGCCAATGGCCTTTTAAACGCCAATTCTGAATTTCCGGTGCTTTTAATACAAACGCAACTACTTCAGTCCTCTCAAGTTCTCAACCTCCCTCCCTCCCTTCTCATATTAACTTTTCCCTCATTTTCTCTCACTTTCTCTCCATCCAACCAGGGTCCAGTGAACCAAATTCGAATTCGAACTCAAAAAGGGATGAAACCCATTTCGTAACCATCCCCAAAGAACAAAACCCAGCTCTGTTTTTCACCATTGGAGTTGAAAAATGAAGCCCCCAATGCAGCGCAACATGGTTTTCACCTCTTTGTTGCTGATATATAGTCTTGGCCTTTGCCTGATTGCGAGTTCTGATCTGGCTGCAGATAGAGCTGCCTTGTTGGCTCTCAGAACAGCCGTTAAAGGCCGTTCAATGGCGTGGAACGTAACGGAGACCAACCCCTGTTCATGGCCTGGCGTTACATGTGAGTCAGACCGAGTCATTGAGTTGAGGCTTCCGGGTCGGGCACTCGTTGGGCAACTCCCTCTGGGTCTCGGCAACCTGACCCAACTCTCGACCCTCTCTCTACGCCTAAACGCGCTTTCAGGCCAAGTCCCAAATGACCTTGTCAACCTCGTCAACCTCAAAAATCTCTACTTGCAAGGTAACTCATTCTCGGGTCCGATTCCAGAATTTTTGTTCAATATGCAAAGCCTTATGAGATTGAGCCTTGCTAAAAATAAATTCTCTGGTGAAATTTCGCCGGGGTTTAATAACTTGATGAGTTTGGTAACTCTGCATTTGGAAGAGAATCAGCTTACTGGGTCAATTCCTGAACTGGGTTTGGCCCTTGAACAATTCAATGTTTCGTCCAACCAGTTAAACGGGTCGATCCCTTCAAAGCTTTCGCATTGGCCCGAAAACGCTTTCGAGGGAAATTTGCTTTGTGGGAAGCCATTGAAGGCCTGTAATGGGACAGAGTATACTGGGAAGAAGAACAAGTTGTCTGGTGGGGCAATTGCAGGGATTGTGATTGGTTGTATTTTTGGTCTCTTCGTTATTATTGCCATTGTGATCTTTTTGTGTAAGAGAAATAAAAATGGTGAAGAGGGTACAGAGTATGTTGCTCCAGCGAAGGTTCGGGAAGTTGAAACCGCCAGTGGAAGGACAGGGGTGGATAGTGAGAATTTGAGTACTGATTTCTCGGCTGCGTCCAAAGGGAATGTGAAGAGTGGTGGTGGGAGTAAGAGTTTGGTGTTTTTCGGGGATGCAGTGAAGGTGTTTGATTTGGAGGATTTGTTGAGGGCATCGGCCGAGGTGCTTGGGAAGGGAACTTTTGGGACTACCTATAAGGCGGCTTTGGAATTGGGGGTGTCCATGGCAGTGAAGAGGTTGAAGGAGGTGACTGTACCGGAGAAGGTATTTAGGGAAAAGATTGAAGAAATTGGGGGAATGGATCATGTGAATTTGGTCCCACTGAGGGCTTACTATTACAGCAGGGATGAGAAGCTTCTTGTGTATGATTACATGCCTATGGGAAGCTTATCTGCTCTTTTGCATGGTGAGCATTTCTTTCTCGGGTTCCATTTGTTGCATTATGATTTATTGTTATCATCATTTTAGTGTTTCTTTTCATCCAACTTTGTTCTGATTGTATATCTCCGTTGAATTGCTACTTTAGGTATTCCATAAATCAACTTTTGTATTTTTGTTGCCCAATTTTTTACGTGCATGTCTGCAATTAACCCTTTTACTAATTTAGGCTTGCCATACATTTACACCAAACAGAGAGGAATCCTCAGAAGCCCAGTAGACTGTAAAATAATTTCTAGTTACCTGGAAACTCTGATCATGATCCCATTTGGGTGAAAACAAATCGTTCCATATAGTGAAATAACAGAATGGACTGAAGTAATAGACAACAAGAAAATTATCATGATTCTCATCTGAGAACAACTAGGGTTTTCAACCTGTCTTAGCCATTTTATTACACCAAAGAAGCATAATATTGAGTTTCTAAGCAAGTTGATAAGCTACATAGGGGTAAGAAACAATGTGTTCTGGTCCCTGGTTTCATGCCCAATATTGCCGTGCAGGGGCGGATCCACATAGGGGCAAGAGGGGTCAATTGACCCCTGCAAGCCCGGAATCCACCATTAGAGGTGAGATGTTGACCCCTGCAAATTGCCCCTAAACTGCTTGATGAAATGCTCCAAAGGGCACAGCACACCAACACAGCAGGGAGATTACCTTATTTCCATTTCCAACATTTAAGTAAATGTCTTTGTCCTTTTACTTTTATTTATTTTTATATTACTCCATTTACTTAAGTTTACAATGTAAATAAGAAAGTACCCCCCATTTGGATTCAAATAAAAATACTAGAAAATCAAATTCCAACCAAATCAAAATATGAAAATTTGGTTTTAGTGCAAAATACGATTTAGGCTCAAAATGATAGCTCATTAAGTCAATATATACTTCATACTAAAATCCCATAAAATCAAATTTTCTTATTTGATGTGTAAGGAATAAAAGCCACCAAAAATTATCTTGAGAAAATGATTATTTTGAAAAACCATTTTTCATACTTAGCCAATATTTTTACTTAAAACAGTTTTTCATGTATGATATGAATGCATGAAGGAACCTAAGGTCAATCTAGGTAAAAAGCTTTAGATGTTCAATTCACAAAGAGTTTTACAAGAATAACCTAACTCTTACGTATTGAAGAAATATTTGCTTGAATAAGCTCCCCCTAAGACAGTACTCATAAAGTTCCAAAGTTTGAGAGCTAGAACCCTTAAGAAATGCAGATAAAGCCCCAAATCAAAACTACGACGGACCTAAAAAATGACGTAAATGCCCTAAAATGAGCAGGATTGCGCTAAGATATGCAAGTTCTTATGTCGAATAAGACAAGACGCCTTGGGAGGCGATAAGGATTGCACTAATTTTTTGGTTTATTGTCACATTCTTAGAGATATTTCTGGTGTATTGCAATGTGTATTTATTTTTTGAAGTTGATGCAGTTCTCTTTGATAATGAACATGAGTATTTTGTATGGTTTTATCTATTAACTATGAATTAGAGTATTATCGTTTCATTTCAACGGGTCGATTTTGCATAGAATTTTTTTTAACCTTTTACACGTTGACCCTTGGAATGAAAATTCCTAGATCCACCACTGTTGCCGTGGACGGTTGCACTTTGTCCCAAATCCCAGCAGCACTTTCATAAAACAGATGCAAAGCATGCTGTTAGCTGCTGAGTTTTTGTGTAGAAGAATTTTACATGTTTTTCTTTTAATGTAATAAGTTTCGATGAAGTGTTCTTTCTTTCTGTTGAACCACATTGAATTTATCAATGATTAGAAATATATTTTTGTTTTGTCTTCTGTTGCCTTTTCCTGAAAGCAAGAAATTTCATTTTGGTCTAGTGGTGCCCATTCTCCACTTTGTCTCATGGACAATTGCTGCTGCATGAAAAAATTGTTTGGAAATAATTTTCTTTCTATGTGTAACTGAATGTAACTCTTGGGGTTCTTGGATTATGTTTCTGGTAAGAAACAATTGGTATACCAGTTCAGTTCTGTGTTTTGGCGCCTTTTGTTATTATCATTACTATTGCTAGTACTATTTTTATTGTTGTATATTATTATTATTATTGTTATTCTGTTGATGACATTTTGGTTCTCTTAACTCCAATGTTTAGTATAATATTTAAATTTGTGGAAATCGTGAAGCTCCCATTCTTTGCAGAAATTTGAAGCTTTTGACAGTCAACAAAGGATGGATTTCTACATAAATAATTGGATTTTGTTTCTCACGCAAACAATATATTCTTCTTATTTTTCCTTTTTAAAATTTTTCAATTTTGCATGATATCTATGCTGTTACAGAACACCAATATATCTGCTCAGTAATTTACAGATTTTGAATATAATAAAAAAATTTAGCACTGACAAGGCCGTGAAAAGTTGCATTGTTCTTCACCAATGTAAACTCCGAGACTCATTGAAAGAGGGACAAAAGCAATGATGCTGAAAACTGTTTTCTTGTTTATCATTTCATTCTTTACTTTTCCCCTACAGGAAACAGAGGCGCTGGAAGGACTCCATTGAATTGGGAAACAAGGTCTGGCATTGCTGTTGGAGCTGCTCGTGCAATTACATACCTACATTCCCATGGTCCTACGATCTCACATGGAAACATTAAATCTTCAAACATTCTTCTCACTAGATCCTTTGAAGCATGTGTCTCTGATTTTTGCCTTGCTCATCTTGCAAGCCCAACCGCTACTCCCAACCGCATTTCTGGTTATCGTGCTCCAGAACTCACAGATGCTAGCAAAGTAACCCAAAAAGCAGATGTTTACAGCTTTGGTGTATTGCTTTTGGAGCTGCTTACAGGAAAGGCTCCAACCCAAGCTATCATGAATGAGGAAGGAGTAGACCTTCCAAGATGGGTTCACTCTGTGGTCCAAGAGGAGTGGACTGTTGAGGTGTTTGACCTCGAGCTTCTTAGGTACCAGAATGTTGAGGAGGATATGGTTCTACTTTTACAGATTGCACTTGAATGTACCGTTCAGCACCCTGATAATCGCCCTTTAATGGGCGAGGTAACTAGCCGAATTGAGGAGCTTTATAGTGCCAGCTTAAAGCATGGACAAGATGCAAATCCTGATACATCTCGTGATGTGGATGATGGGCTTTCTCAGCAGCATTTCTCAGCTGACTCTCATATACGTCCATAAGGATTGAACAAAGATCAACGTTCTTCCTGCATTGCCCTTCTGGTCGGGATAATTTAGTGCTTTCATTATTTGTTTATTCTTGAGTTTCTCGTGAAAGAAAAATTACCGGCAGGATCATGTATTTTTCTCTTTTGGTTTTCACCTTCATACCTATTTTCTTAATAGCAATCTAATTAGCCCCTGTATTACTGTTTATGCTGTATGTGGAGGGGGATATCTGTATTATTATTTATAACGCAGTTGCCCGAATTGCGAACTCTGAGTTTGCTCCTGGTGAGATGCTCACTCTCACCCTCTGTCCCTCGTAGCTTTGAACTGGGTGCAACTTTTCTATATGATTCGAAATGCTTGAGTTACTTTCTGGATTTTGAGTTGAGTATTTGCCATTTATTTGTTCTTTCGTTTCAGCCAAGTCAAGCATATCTCTATACTTGGAGAATAATCCTATCATGTAGTTTTCTTGTGTACTTAGGTCAATTGGTTCTCTGGGCTCCCATGGTTGCTTTAGCTTGGTATCATTCATTACACTTCCAATGAATGTAATAATATAGGCCATTTTAAACTTCAACATCAATGTAAGTCAAGTGTGACCTTATTCCTATCCGCCAGTCTTATTTTTAATTTTCGTAAATGAATTTTGAATACAATTTAGCTTCTTTTTTTTTGGGTATAAATTTGCTGAAAAATAAGAAACAAAAAGCCTAGGGCTCCCATGCCAGTTATGGAACCTTGTCTTCTGTAGTCACTGACCTCGGGGGACAGCTTGGAACTCTAAAAACTCGAAAATTATACAACATAACCACAAATCTAACATAAAACCATTACGGAAGATTATTAAGAAATTATATAGTTACTGTTTATATGGCTGTCTTGAGACAATGGTTGCCGATCGTAAAAGGCATAGAGATCCTCTTATTAGCCGTAGTGGCTCATAAATCCATCTCCAAATCCAAGTGGATTTGGTCTGAAATAGGCAAGTCTTTAGGAGATCCGAACTAGGGCTCCTCTCCCATGCCTTGCCTTGGGGGCTACTCAAGCTAACTTGGCTTGAACTCAAAGGTGATTCCTATAATTTTCACACACAAAAAGAAGGTGATTTGTATAATAAGCTTTGCCGGACAATAAGAGATCTATCCCATACTCCTTATCTTAAACTCGTCATATACGCCAACAGGGTCTAGCCCAATCATTGGCGGACCTACATAGAGCCTAGTGTGGGCAGCTGCCTACACTTAATTTCTTCTTCAACCATGTAGGCTACCATAAATAAGACATTTGGTCAACAAATAAATAAAACCTTCAAGATTTTAACCCAAATTTCTCATATTCAAAATATCATAGCCTCAAAATTGACAAAATATCAAGGCCCAGTTCAAGAAATGACTTAGTTTGTCCTTTCTCGCACATGCATTTTGTGTTTATAAAATAAATAGTTATATAAATATATAATATTGTTACATAAATAAATATTATTATATTATTATATAATATTTATGCCCACACTTTGACAAGATGCTGGATCCGCCACTTAGCCCAATGGAAAAGAGGTTTTGAGTTGTAGAGTAGTGATTTCATATTTGAACTCCCATGACACATTGATAGTATGTGTGAGAAACCTCCTCTTTCTTGTAGTTTAAACTATTACTTGTATTTTTTTTTAAAAAAAATACTTAAGTTGATATCTTAAAAACAAGGAATTAGATTGATTAGGGGTAAATAATTCATCACATGCCCATTCATTCTTTTTCCGACTTTAAAATTCCATAATTCATGACTTCCTCAATTCTATATAAATAAACATGCCATTAGTTTTAACGAAAAATTGAATGGAATTGACATCAGGGATGATATTGATGTGTAGAGCAATATGATGGGATTTATATTGATCGAATTTGAAGAATCAATTGTGAATTGACCTCTGTTTTCATCAATTTTGGGAACCTAAAGCAATACCACATGTTAGAATGCTTAAAATATATTGGCTTATTTGTAATAGTGCATATAAAGCTTAGAAGAGACATTGCTAAAGTGTCTTGAGACATTTGAAGAATAAACAACATAAATTTTGGGACAAAAAACTTGAATACAGAAAAGAGGCTAGTAACTCGTAATAAACCTTAAAAATATTTTGAAAGTACAAAAAAAAACTTACTGTTTGAATAGATGTGGGCACAATTTTGAGTCAACCTAATTGAATCGTTCTCAATCATAATGGGTTGAACAGGTTGAGTAACGGGTTCGAACAAAAGCTTCAAAATAGGCATAATTTTGAGATAATCCGATCAAACTGTCCAACTCGATCACATAAAGTTTGGGTTGAGTTGAATTGGCCAAATAATGAGCGGGCCTTAGGTTGAAGAAATCATAAACCGTTATATATTAGGTGATGTAGAACAAATTGTTGAATTGATTGAAGACGAACTGGAGCGAAGAAGAAAAAAATGACATAGCAAGAATTTTACAGATTTGGTGTCCAAATTCCAATTGAGTCGCATAATACATTCCAAAAGTGCATTTAAAAATTGTATTCAATTCATAAACTTTCCGTTTCTTTTATGTTAAGTTTTCAAAAACTCCCCATGCCATCCCTACCTTAAAAAGAGGGAAAGAAAAGAAAAAAAAAGAAAAAAAAAGCTGTGGGTTCTGTGTTGGAATTGTGCTCTCGCTAGAGAGAAAAACAAAAGGAGTTAAAAAGGGAAAAAAGAAAAAGACAGCGGTCATTACAAGAGGAAGCCAAAAAAACAGACAGACGTTGATAAAAGCATCACCAGTCCGTGAAGTTTCGTTATTTTGTTTTTGCTTCTTTTCCTCAGTTTTCCGTTTGTTTCTTTGAAGAAATTCTCAGGCTTTCGATTCATTATCATCTCAGAACCACTCACCCTGAGCCCCAAACTCATTTTCTTGACAATGGGTTTGTTGGATTCCTTCCTCACTTGGCTCCGGAGGTAACCCATCTTGCTCTTTTTCATTTTTCTTTCTTTGGATATGAGTTTCTGTGGAAGGGTTTTTTTTCTCCGGTTTACTGATTGCTGTGTTCAACTTGGTATTATAAAGATTTGAGGTGCGAAAGTTGATTAATTTAATTACTTCCTCCTATGTTGCTAATAATCAATTATGAAAATCAAAACGAAAATTGCATTATTTGATGGGATTTGTGGAATCTGTAATCACACTGAGCTTTGTTCAATTGAGAACTCTATGGTTTTATATCATTCTCAAATGAAGTTTCTTTAGGCTTTATGATTCAAATGGTTTCCAGCGTTATCCTGTTGCTTTTAGATAACTTAAAAAGGATCGGTGATTTCATTTGTTTATACAAGTAGATTAGTTGCATAACATGATTTTCTGACTTCCTAATTAGCGGCTTAAAAAATATGTGGACTGACAAAATTTTATGAATTTGAATTTATCGGCCCTATCAAAATTGTAACTATGTGGCTATTCTGCTTGAGGTTGTCTTCATTGTTATGACCATGATGATGACAATTATGAAAGTGAGTTTCAATCTTCTGAGACTAGAACCCATACAATTGTTAGACAGCCCTTATTAGAGGCAAAGCTACCATGTTCATACTGTTAAGATTTTCATTTTACTATTCCCTCCATATGAGAAAACAACAAGAAGAAGGTTGAAATTCTTTGTATTTTCTGTTGTCTCTTTAACTGGAAGGGGTTATGGGAAATTGGCCTTTGAGTAAATATTCGGTGTAGGCAACTCTTACCATGAGTGAAGTACTAGAAATTATCTTTGTGCATTTCCTCTTTGTATTTTTAAATAGTTTTTCTCCTTTCGAGTCTGTTATAATCAATGAAATTGAAAGGGTAAGTACATTGTTTTTTTTTGGGGTCAAAATAGTACATTGTTTGTTGGAATAGCCAACTATAGTTTATGTTAGTATGATTTGGAAGTTCTGCGCTAGTTTTTTTATGCCTGCATTATGCAGGGATACTGGAATTTGGAAACGTCCGATTTCTCTGTTTTAGGGGGTTAAGTTGAGAGAATGACTTCAATCCCATTGTTGACAGCAGATCTAATGTTGACAGTGGATGTGAACCCCTTGTTAATTCTCATTACTCATTCCACTCTTTGTATTCTGTCAATGATTTTTCTTCCTTTGAGTTAATAGTTAGATACTTCATCATATGGCATTAAGCTTCATGGTCATGAATGGCTTTTTGAGCTTCCTGTGAGTTTGATCTAATGAAGTTCGAGAAACACTATAGTAATCTGTTGTCAGTTCTTTTCATATCCTTAAAGGGCTGTGAACCATGCATCTCTTTGTTTTGTGTGTTTGGTTATATTTGCTCCACATGTTATCATGGATAGGCACTTTCTTTTCTTGATAATAAACACAAACTTTATTCAAAATGCAAAAATTGAAAGTCCAAGCATAGTCGATAAGTGTTACAACCCTGGACCCTGGAGTTGGGGTCAAGGCCAAGGCATGATGGCTGCAGTGCCTATGCCAAGGCATGATGGCTGCCATGCCCTTGCCAAGGCAAGGGTGCATATGGCAGGTGCACACAACCAAGTGAAGAAAGGTATAAGTGTGGGAATTCTTGTACAAACGTGCCAAGATCTTGTTATCAATGAACTATGATGAGCACACACACACACAACCAGTAAAAAAAAAGGAGAAAAAAACACACCACGAAAGAAAAAAAATCCACTAGAAATTGTACCCAAACGAGGTTTGACAATTTGTGCCTATATCCTTGGTAATCACCCTGAGAAATTTCAGTAGTCAAGAAAGGAACAACTTTGCTTACAAGAAGAAGCCCCTTAGCCCTTTGTTAACCCTAGGTCTTAATTTCTCTCTCACCCCTGCTCAAATCCTTTGGTGCCTCCCTTGTATCTCTCATTTTGTTTCCCAACCCCCTAAAGTTTTATTTGTATCACATAGGGCTCAGCTTACAATTAGACCCGAAGTAGGAAACTAACACTCTAAAAAAATATGTAAAAGACAACCAGAGTTAAAACAGGAAACCTGAGAGCCAACTGGTCGGCTAGCTAGACTGACTGGTCACTCGCTGTGCGACACATTCCGACCGGGCGCTCTGCTTTGACTCCGAATCCTGCAGTCTCAGTGAGTAGCTACGGGTCGCCCAAAACCTACTGACCGGTCAGACCCTTGTACAAGCCTCGTTTTCTTGCTTCCAAACTATCAAGATTTCACTAAAATATGTGTAAATTAATGAGATTTATAGTGAAAACTCAGTAAAGCATGACCATGCACACAACAGAGATCTAGAGTTTTCTGACATGCAAGCGAGCACTAAACAGTTGAATTGAAAATCGAAGTTCCAATGCTAATGGATTTTACCCCCCCCTCCCCAAAAAAAGAAACCTTAATGAGAGAACTATAAAGACTTTAAAGCCCAAGTTCAAAATTTCGTACAAAAAATTTGAAACTTGTATTCACATGATCAGGCAATCCCTAGAAAAGTAAAACAAGCATGTTTGAGAAGTTTGAATAAGGAAACTTAAAATCCTAAAATCTCAAATTCATAAGAATCCTGATGCAGTTGTCAGTAGATCAGGCTTGCCTCTCGTTTGATTGAAACATTTGTGAAAACATCCTTTCTTGTTTCATTTGATAAACCAATTGAATGGATTCAAAGCTGACAGATCTCGGTCGATTGATGTGTAGCAACTTTAACTGATCTTCTGTCTTATGATATTTCTTGATATCAACACTCAGTTTTGTATTATGCTCTTTTTCTTGGAAGAGGCAGCAACTGTAGTTGAGTTGTGTGTAGCGAAATAAGTCATTAGGTCCTAGAAACATGAGCAAAGTATGAATAGCAAACCAGATGGGAAGTCCCTACAAGCCCCAGATGGGTCCCAGCCTAGATCACAACTTTGATGCAGAATGGAGTGACAATTCCATTCCATCTTGCCAGCCCTTTGTACACCAACCTCTTAACCCATATCAGTTCTATGATATGTATAAATTATCTTGGTAGTCTTTAGTTCCTACTAAACTTTCCCGACTACTCTGTCTGCAAATCCCCTATTATTTCAGTTCGAACAGTCTCAGCTCCAGTACAGAGGCATATCTTCCTATCTTAGCTGTACCTGATCTTAAACGATACAGAGTACAAGGATAGTACGGTCTCTACCTTTGAGCCATTAGAATCTGTTTACACCTGGAAAAACTGTTACATGTCTGGTAATACTATTTGATATGAGATGAGACAAGTTTACTGATACATTGTTGACGCTTGTAAAAGCTGGACTTCACAGCGGTCATGTTCTTATACAAGTGGATCCAAACTTTACACCAGATTGAGTACAGTTCTCTTATTTCCATTATTAGCTATTCCTTGCATCTTTGATTCATATTAACATGGATGGGATGACTGACCAAAATTCTGAAAATAGTGGTTCTCGGGTTGTCTGTCTGTAGATCTGAAAATGATGCCATCCATGCACACACTTTTGATTTTTTTTATTTGCTTCCCAACTGGTTTGTTCATGAATTGTTTTACTAAATTCATGGCAGATGGGTGAAATTTCGTCTGATACATATATTTGTTAGATACTTCCACAGAAATATCAGTGTGAAGGTTTGAAAAGGAAGAGAAAAAAAGGATTTGTAGTGCTGAAATTTGTACTCTTTACAGAACAATTTTGCCTAAAGATATTCCTCTTGGATGCTGCATATGATGACTTCTGTTAATCCCTGTCCAAATTGCACATTCTTTGGTTGAAGCATAATTTGCAGTAATTTTGTACGATACTTGCACATTTGAACCATAATAGCTGTAAGGTGTTATAACTATTGGCTTCCACATCTTCACATTTTCTTAATTCTTGAGCACACAATGAAATAGGTGGAGAGTCCATTTTCTTGGGCAGTGAGTCCTATTTGCATTATCCTCTCTTTTATTATGACACTGTTGCAAAATGGAAGGTCTCTAGATTTCTCTATGATTGGTCTGCTAACTTTGTATCATCCTACTCTGTGCCTACATTTCAGCTTATTCTTTAAACAGGAAATGGAACTTTCACTAGTAGGGCTTCAGAATGCAGGAAAGACATCTCTTTTAAATGCCATTGCTGTGAGTGAAACACAAACTTTGCACATCCTTTCAAGTATGTATAGTTGCTACCCCTTCACATTAATCATTCTATGTTTTCATTACCAGACAGGTGGCTACAGTGAGGACATGATTCCAACTGTAAGCATCTTTTCTCGAACAAATTGTGTAATTAGGTTTATCACATTTTTTTGGGTGGTGTGAAAAATATATGTTTCTAGTATTTTAAGAGGAATTGTTTCCTAATATGAAAACCAGGTTGGATTCAACATGCGAAAGGTAACCAAGGGAAACGTGACAATTAAGGTTTGGGACCTTGGAGGGCAACGGAGGTTCCGTACAATGTGGGAGCGTTACTGTCGTGGTGTCTCTGTAATTGTGTAATTCCTTCAGTCACTTTGTATTCTATTAAGTTTTCTCCTTTTGAAATGTCATCTCTATCTGTTGCCATCAATTCCTTTTCAGATGCTTCCGGCTTTTGAGGAAACCAGAAAATGCCTGCTGTCTGTGTGCAGGAACAGTATATTTTGATCCTGAAAATTAAGCCTCACCTTTGGACTCTTTCTATATTTTTAACATTTTTGTTCTCCTAAGAAACGTTGAAAAATTTAACTGTCAATCATGCTTATGAAAAAAGGACTTGCTTTGATATTTAAATCCATTATTATATAAAGTCGGCTGTCTATCCTTCCTTAGTGTTCTCTTAGCCGGCATTAATCAATTCTCTTATCCTTCATCAGACAGCTATTTCAAGACTTTCCACATTTGTTTATCAATATACATACATTTTATATTTATTTAATTTAGAGGTCTTGGCATTCATTCCCAGCCTGTTAGCTGAGCTGTCCATCAATCTGGTTCCTTTCTAATTCTTCCTTCGTACTGGATGTTGTCACAGGTATGTAGTTGATGCTGCTGACAGAGACAGTGTTCCAATATCTCGAAGTGAGCTACATGACCTCTTGATGAAACCTTCCTTAAGTGGGATTCCTTTACTTGTTCTTGGCAACAAAATCGACAAGTCTGAGGCTCTTTCCAAGCAAGCATTGGTTGATCAACTGTGAGTACAGAATGTGATATAAGTTGTTACTTCAATCATCATTCTCTGTTGATTATTTCTACTCCTAGAAACCTTGATGTGTTCCATTTGGTGTTTTCAGAGGCCTAGATTCAATTACGGACAAGGAGGTCTGCTGCTATATGATCTCATGCAAGGATTCCATAAATATAGATGTTGTCATTGATTGGCTTATCAAACACTCCAAAACAGCAACCTGATCCATGAATCGATCAATTACAGAGTGTTTGATCAAACAAAGTTCGACACGAGCTGAAAAGGTGAATTGATGAAAACAACCACTGTTGAGACTCTGTAACTAGTAGGATTTCGCTATTCGCCAGATAGAATTATCTGTACAGTACTTATATAGCCGGCAAGCAAGTCTGTCATGCTTTGGTTGTTATAAATTGCCTTGTTCGTTTGAAATGATTTCGATTTTCAAATGAAGGATCCTAAATTAGAAGCACCATTTTTGTGAGATAAATATATTGTCACGTACTATTGTTTATTGTGCTGAAGTTTTGTGGTGTCCCCGGACTCCCCGTGAAGGCTTTTAGTAGGAGACTTTGGGGGCTATTCCAATTCCCAAACACTAGAAGGGCCATTTTCTTCTCGTCGTGTTTAGAGGATGGAAAATGGAGACAAAAATAATAACCAACCAGATTGAGACGCATGTTTGATTCATATTGGAATGAACCCAGTTGAAATCTGAATATTTCCATTTGTAAAAGAAAATGGACACTAAAATAGCACCTGCTTGCACTACATAAGTTGAAAATGAGTAATCAAACTAAATAATATTGAAGGTGACGACAGAGTTATGTCGTCGTGTCGTGTTTCGACGGTGACTAGGTTTATTATAATCCATCATCTTTGCATAAAAAAAAGCTTTGCACACCACAAAGACATCATCGAACATGTTTTAACTTGTATGTGTATATGTGATTAGGTATCAAATCAATTTTTGGCTTCATAACTCTGGTCTCTATCATAATGAATAGGAAATTCGAATCATTGTCCCCCCATTGTAACATCCACACGTTTGGATGACCTCAAAACTACAATTCGTTTCAATGGAATTCTCAAAGGGAAAAAATAAAAAAAAACACTTAAAGGGAGAAGAGAAGTGTTATTAAGTAAACAAACATCCTTTTGTCTTTGCCAATGTGAAGCATCTAGCCAGTGTATGATTCCTCATCTAGAAGCGAAAACGCAAAGACTTTTGTGTAAAGATTTGGACTGGCAGGGGTTGCTGTTTGTAGAGAAATTATTAAACCAAGTGGCAAGTGGAAAGTCCAAGTGAAATTGAAATTCCAAGAAAATAAAGTAAACGTGAAAATTTTGTGGGTAATAATACTAATAGTAGAAGGTAAGACTATCTCACTGCCAAGTAAGAAATTAAAGTTACTTTGGAATATATGCAAGTTGAACGGATAAAGACTTGACTTGCATTGAGAAGGTTCGGATTGAAGACAAAATAAAGGAGGCGCATTGAGAAGGTTCCTGCACGATATTTTCATTTTTCCGCACTTACTTTGACCAAAACCAGACATTCACATACATTTTTTTGGAAAATTATTGGGTTTCAACTTCTGGTATTTAGCATATACTGTCCGATTTCTTTGAAAAACAAAGTTACATACAGCTCAAGTCTACATGACATACAATTTGTCTTACATCTAGATGTGAATGTTCGACCTTTCATCCTAGATCCTTTGTCTATCGAGCGACGGTGTAACTTTCTTTTGTCACTCTCGTTGACTGGCACATATTTCTTTCTTAGATTCCAATCAAACAAGTGATTTATAAATCAACAATTACACATATTATATATAGTATGAGTGGGGAAAAAACCGTTAGAACAATTCGAACCGGCTAAACCGAACCAATTCAAATGGTTTTGATTCTGTTTTTGCACCAAAAAAATATAGAAGTGAACATAACCAAACCAAACCACAATTAGTTTGTTTTGGTGTGGCTTATGTGAAACGCCTAAATTCAACCAAACTGCCTACATCAATGTACTATCTTTTTGACATTTGGAATTTCTTATTGATTCTAACTGTTATTACCTTTGTGTAGGGGTGCTTCCAACCTAGACAAGACCCAAAATGGGATAATCATGCTACGAACTGGCGATTGACTTTACTAGATAAAGATAAGGAGTATGAGTATGTTTTCCGTCTGTTATGTCTTTAAAACAACTGCAGTAAAAGCCATATACATTGCTAAATTCAGTGGGTGTATTGGCTGGCTTTCTATTGCAAAGTCTGGTGCAACATTATTTTCAGCAGAGGAAGAGGATCAAAATAGCAGCAATGGGAAGAGGCAAACACTAACCCTTTCCTTCCTTTACTAACTCTCTTTCCCTTTATGGGAAGAGGTTTTATGAGTAAGAGATGGAAAATTTTGCTTAAAACTAAAGTGTGTAGGACCATACATGGCGTATAAAAAAATGTATAGTGCTTATGAAAAGAACAAATATACTAAAAAGTAAATATATACGGGAGTGGCTCTATATTAATGGATAATCATATTACTTTATATATAATTAATTAACTAAACTATATATTAATACGAAAATTAATCATTACTTCGGTTAAATTAATTAATTAATCTATTTATTTAATGATCATAGCCTTCATCTTGTCTAGTGATGATCAAATAGGGAAGTCTCATTTCTCTTTGTATTTTTTTTATACATTAATTTCTATATTTAATTTAATTAGGACATAATTAAGAGATTTTATTTTATTTTTTTATGAAACATAATTACGAGAAATTGGATGGGACCTTTTTGCTTTGTACATACGACTAATTAACGAAGCAGTAGTGTAAATGTAAAATCGGGGATGACGGAGAAGTACAAAAAGCATTTATTTATAATTAGGGTTCCAAAATTTCCTCATGAAGATTTGTGGCGGTGTCGTTTTATCTCCATTGGAGTCCCACGCTTCAAACGCAAGCAAAGAAGGTTGATGAGGTGGAGCTATCTGATCAAGACGCCCGCACGTGTTACGCGTTACCCCCAGCAGGTTAACACGTGTATACCCAAAAGTCGGAGAAAGAACTGACTAGCACCACCAAAAATAGAAATTAAATTAAATTCTGAAAGATTAAAAAAAAAATAATGGAAGTAAACGAAACAATTAAAATGTAGCATAGTGACATCCAATGTTTGTTTAATAAAGTTTTTAAATGGACTAATAGTGGATTCAAATAATGTATTATGCTTCTAACCATTTTTGACAGAATATTTTAAAATATTTATCGATTGCAATAATATTTTTCAGTACTTCTTCAAAAGATGTATGTGTTTCTTTAAAAGAACGTGGATTTTCAATGAAAATTTTATTGTACCTTTAACAAAATTGCTTTCAACAAAAATGCTCGTGAATATAAGTGCTTCTTACATAAACATTCGCAAACAGACTCTCAGATAAATGTCTGTTAAAGTAGGTCATGAATTTAAATTTCATTAACACCAATTGTTAAATGAGAGAGAGAGAGAGAGAGAGAGGAAAAAAAAGAAATAAATCAAATACTTGAACCAGCTAAGCCAAGCCAAAGTCCATAGTAGGAAAGTCTTCTTGGCCTTGGGTGCTGCTTGGCTTATTATATTATTATATCTTTAAGAGTTATGTGGGTGAATACATACTATATATAGGTGGGTGGCAATGAGTCTAAACTTGTTATCTGCACATCTCAGGATCAGCCTGTGCCTTATTTTACATATCAGCCTGCCTTGGCCTAGGCCTAGCTAAGCTAAGACTGCTAAGTTGAAGACTTGAATATAGTTTATTGAGCAGCCTTATACAAATTATAGCTAATTGGTCTTATAGCTTTTGTGGGTTGTGTTTGATTTTGGGGAGGATTAATCAAAATGGGAAGGCAACCATGCTGTGACAAAGTAGGGTTGAAGAAGGGGCCATGGACAGCTGAAGAGGACAAGAAGCTCATTAACTTCATCCTCACCAATGGCCAATGCTGCTGGAGAGCTGTTCCTAAGCTTGCAGGTCTCATATCCATTATCATATATTTATACTTCATTTTTGTCACTACATTCTAGAGAGAGACAGAGAGAGAAAGGGATGTGCAAATTTGAATGCTCTGTTATTCATTCTGTTTCTTTCCTTCAGGGGAGAGGGGCAGGAGAACATGTGTTTTCTGTTAATGTTTTTGAATTCCAAAACTTTTATAAGTTTCTCTTTTGTTTTCAGAAATTGGGTTTATTCTAATTCATCATTTCATCTCTTCATCTTTGTTTTTAATTTTCTTCTCTCTCAGAAAAACCAAATAAGGTGGCTCTGAAGTTTTCTTTTTGTTTTTTGTTTTCTGTTTCCTCCTTTGTTTTTGCTCTGGGAAATTAAGGGATATGAGCTAACAGTTTAAGAGGCCTGATTCTCATGATTATCAATATTAAAGTGGAAACTTATTGGAATTTGAATGCCCCAATATTTTCAATGAATTATCAGCTCACTGATTATAGCTATGGTGGGTTGGTCTCAATTGCAGGATTGTTAAGGTGTGGAAAAAGTTGCAGGCTGAGATGGACCAACTATCTTAGGCCAGACTTGAAGAGAGGTCTTTTATCAGAAACTGAAGAGAAAATGGTCATTGATCTTCATGCTCAACTTGGCAACAGGTTTATTTTTTTATAGCAAGTTCAAATATTTCTGCCATTTCTGAAATTACAGATTAATTATAATTAAGGAACTCTTTGTCATTTTAGTAAATAATAATAGAAGACCAGATTATACAATTTCTGGGAAATGAGATGTCTGAGGATTTTACACCCGGTCCAACAAGAATTTTATTTTTTTGTTCTTTTGACTTGAGATTTAAAAAAAAATACAGCATGTTAATTACTATAGAACCTTGAATTCAACAGTGCTGAAATATGCAGTCTTGTCCTTCTGTTAATTTTGTATTATTGGACCTTTCTTATGGCCATAAAGTCAAATAATCTTTTGATGATGCTAAAAAGACTTAAAGCAAATTATTTAATTTGTTTTCTTCTGCATTTTCTTTCTTGTGTGCTCAAGTCAAATATTGTCTATTTTCTCAGATGGTCTAAGATTGCCTCTCATCTCCCTGGAAGAACAGACAATGAAATAAAAAATCATTGGAACACCCACATCAAGAAGAAGTTGAAGAAAATGGGGATTGATCCTCTCACCCACAAACCAATTGCTAATGATGTCAATGATCAAAGCCAACAAGAACAAAGTCAAAACCAACAAGAAGAAGCACAAAAATCTTGTCCAGCTAATGACACATTTGAAGTTGAGCAAATCACCCCTGCTGCTCAAGCCATAGAGGAGGAAAGAGGAGGTGATGAGTTGGATAAAATGGAGCTCTTGATTGATGGGTTCTGCACAGATGACGTTCCATTGATTGAGCCACCTGAGATTCTGGTCCCTTGTGCTCCTTCCTCTTCTTCGTCAACCTCTTCATCTTCATCTTCTTCAAATTCAGCATCCAAGTTCCTTGAAGACCTGCATCTCCCAGATTTTGAGTGGCTTTGTGATTACAGCAACAACAATGACAGCATTGGCTTGTGGGATGATGACTTCAGCAGTTGGGGTCAAGAATCTTGGGCATATGGGATTTTGTGAAAAGGGGAATTAACAAATTTTCCACTTGGATTATTTGTAATTTGCTTGTTACTTTTGTTTTTTAAAGAGTAGAAAATAAATTATAAGAGAATAGAGAAAACCACATCTTTGAAAAAATCACAATTTCTTTTAGATGTGACATTGGAGTGGAGTGAGCAAAAGGCAATCCCCAGATTCTAATGTTTTGTAAGAAAGCCAAAAAGCATGTAAATCATTTTTTACTCTTTAGAAAGTGAAATAAAATAAATTAAAATAAGGTTTTTGTGTGTTCATGGAAGCATTTGGTTGGATTGGATTGATTGTTATTTCAATGTATTATTGTAGGCTCCAGTTTTCTCTTTCTCATCATGTTTTCTTATCCTTTGTCTTGAAGGATTAATTCAGTAAACCTTTTCAAGAACCCGACTGGTTACATTTCATTATCATGTTATTTAAGTTGCGTCACCTTTTTCTTGCCTTCTTATTTATTGTTCAACGTAATATTGTATGATCACAGTGATGATGATATTTGCATTTTTACCAAAATTAAGGAGGGGGCGTTTTCTCACACGCACTGCCAAAATTTCATAAAACCAATAATCATCAAGTCAATACCATTCATCCATACAAATTATGCACTCAGCAGGCTGCTCACAGTTGGTGAGGCACTAAACACGTGTAGTCAGGCCACAGAGTTAACCCCTACATGTTGCCTTAAGTTATAGGCTGGTCCACAAATCACACCGAACTTCCGTCAAGTTTCCATATTCCTAGGTTGAAGAGAGAAACAAGATAAAGAAAGAAACCAAACTGATTGTCCCCCTCTATCAATGCTTCTTTTCACTGTTGTTCAAACCCGCGGGTAATGTTAGCATTTCATATGATATATGACATACAATTCCTAAATAAATTATTGTCGAATAAAATCATGTATGTTAAATTATCACATGAGGATCAACATCATATGACAATAGTAACTTGATTGCTTAATACACTTACAGAGCTATTTTTTGTATCATTCTCGTCACAAATTTGCTTAATGCATGAAGTATCGAACTCAGTACAAATTTGTAATATATATGTGAGTCGAATATAAGATTTAAATTATCACTAGATTAAAGGGTAGTTGATATTTAACTAATTAATATAAAGTTTAAAAAAAATATTATTTGTTTAGTATTATTCATTAACTTACATTATCATGGGAAGAAGAACAAAGCAAGTTCGTTTCTTATTTATAGACTATATAGTTCAAGAAATTTATATAGTAGTATGTAGTCAAACATTAGGTTATACGAGCTGGTATTTTTCTTTTTATATTATTTTAAACCCTTTCTGTTTGAAGGAGATTAATTTATTTCAAAATTAAATTCCACGAACCAGGAGCGAGTGGTGGGGGAGGCAAAAATGTACCTTTAAGTTATAAAGTAATTGAGCTGATTTTGTTTGCTCTTCTTTGTCATTTCTTTCAACCGTAGGCGGCTCTTTCGATTAGCTTAGCTTATATACGAGAGTAAGCGATTAAACTAACTATTTTTCCGTTCTCATTTGGAGAAAGTGTATATGTATACTAAATTATAAATGAGGGAGATTCTTACACGCACAATCAAAGTGTTATGGAATTCAAATATGAGGTCTCTGATCTGCAAGTTAATGTCATTTTCTACTAGGCTAGACCTTGTTAGCAGCTATATATATACCAAATCTAAACTATCTTTGGAGTTTAGGATTTAATAATAAAATAAAATAAAATAAAATATATAGCGCTTGGAATTTTTTGTTTTAAAACTCGATAATGCTTGGATTTGTGATATAAAAAAGTTGAGATTAAACGTTGAGAAAGAGTCAAACAAGCAGTCCAAATCCCAAATCAAAGAAGGCAAACCCTTTTTAATTATGTGTTGCAACATGATGAAAAACTAATGAGAAAATTACTTCTAGAACGCTTAATAGCGTGTTTGAGGATTTAAAAGCCAACCTGGCAGTGGCATGCATTCAATTAAAGATTCCTTTTAATTTAATGTATATGTAGAAGTAGAAGTGCCCTCCTCACCCAATGTCAACTCCTTTGAGATGGTTGCTTGTCAACCTATTATTAATTTTTAAACCTATGATTAATTAAAACCAAGTAAAGACAAGTGCTTAATCATTATTGGAAATTGCAATGAAATAAATTCAGATAGAAACTGTAAGCAACAGTTGTTTTCCAAGCCAAAAGAGAGCTACGTTCGACCATCATCTTTCTTCTATTTTGATTTCAAATTTTTTGGAATAAAAACGATAGTCTAAACTATAAGGGAGTTCGACCCAAAAAAAACCTTACAAGGGGAGCGGGAGTTGGGAATTCGAACCTAAAACTATTGGTCTACAAATCAAGGCCATTTTTTCACTGAGCTAGACCCCGTTGGCTAATTTCATTTTAATTTTACATTAAAAAAATTGTTTCATGTACTACCTTTAATTATTATATATTATCATATTTTTGTTTATTATATTATTATCATACGTACGTTAGCTTAATATATGAAAATTGTTAACTCTGCCACATGCTTTAAAGAATGTTAAGAGGATGTTAACTACATGATTAGGAAACTTGTTAATAAATGCGAACTAGCAATGGGGATGCCTTGGGCAATCAAGGCAGTTGAGTTTGTTATGTGTCAACTGCTATTAAATATTCATACACAATCTTAAACTACAGCACAACCTTAAAGAAAACCTACGTTTCCCTCTCCATATGCAAGGTCATGTTTGATGTTTGAATATGCAGTATCAACCAAATAAAATTTTTATTTCTTGTGTGAGTTTTATTCATGCAACGACCTTGTATTCAATGTCTTTACTTGGCAATCAGTACAAATAATTGTTTTTGTCTCGTGAAAGTTAGAACCGTAGGCTACGCCTACGAGAGTAACATTCATGAAACAATAGTCAAACCATACATCGTGTGAATCACTAATTATGATAATCTATTAAATTGTAATTTAGAAAATAAACATAGTTTTCGATTATGACATGTGTATTGTAAAGATTCATTAATCACCCCGGAGGAGATAAGAAAGTGCTCTCACAAAAATAAACATCCGTACGCCTAGTCAAGATTAGCCCAAGAAATAATGTGAATAGGTCTTTGTCATTGTACGGTAGCTTCTTCAAAGAAGATTCCCTGTTCCATGTCATTGACTTTATTAAAACCAATTTCATCTTATTTGACCATGAAAAATTCAGCCCGAGAAAAATAATTATAAACACTAAGAGATAAAGACACAAAATAAAATTGCTATACCATCTGGATTGCAGCCTAAGTCCTTGTTTTATCTTTTGATGCGAAGCTGTCCAACTTGACAAAAGCTAATAACTAGCTGTCTATCCGCGTGAACGACAAGATATATTTGTAAACATTCACAACTGTTAGGCATGGTTTTAATTTTTATAAATATAAAACAATAATATTTTTACAGAGGTATATATTTATTCCTTACAATAGTTATAAATGGGGACACTGAAAAAAGGAGTACGAAGATGAAGTAAGAGAGATGAAAATGGAAAACTTATTTCAAAATTACGTATTTTGAATAAGGGTAATTTTATCCATAAGGGATTTGAATACCTTCTCACTTTCATACGATTATATATACATACGTACACGAACACTATGCGTCATGTAAGAACACGATGCCCGTCGATTGGTAAAAGTTATTTTGCTGAAATTTTGCAAGTGAAGTTTTATTATATATGTTATAAAAAAAAAAAAAAAAAAAAAAAAAAAAAAAAAAAAAAAAACAACATACGATACGACGATATGATGATATATATAATACGATATGTATGATGTGAATCTCAAGTATACAAGTGGTGGATTGTAGGAAGAAAAATTGCATGTAGTGTGTAAATGTAGAGCATGACATCTATCATGAGTTGGGAATGCTTATTCAGTCAACGTTGAGGCGTAGCACTCTTGAATGAGCCCAAACTTACGCCACCATTGCTTTCTGAAAAATAGTGCTGGTCTAGCTAGTAGAAAATAATTCATTAATGTTGGGATATATCCATTCAAAGACGATGATGAGTTCTGGAAAGTAGAAATAAACTCAAAATTTATCACCCTCTTTCCTACGTAGTGTGGAAACCCCAAAGTCTTTTGGCGACTCTTACGGACCTCAGCCATAATTTGTTGTGAATCTTTCAACCCCTTGAAGCCCTAGTGCATTCACACTCTTTATGTTTCTTGATGTCTATGCTTCATAATTGCTAACAGAAAAATGTTCATGGCTCCAATATCTATTTTTATAAATTTAGTTAAGATGCACATGTGGGGTAGATCAATTGGATAGGCAATAAGTTCGTTCCAAATAAGCATGCAAACTTTTCTAAAGCTTGTTATTGACATTTAAAAAACGTCATCGTGCACTCATTCAACTTAGTTTCTCCCTTATATTTTTATATATGTGGAGTGCATGTTGACCTTTAAAATGCCAATAACAATTACCCAAAAAAAAGTATGCAATTATGTATGAAATTACTTTTAGGATTGTAATTAACTAAAGTATACGGTGAAATAAAATTATAATTAAAAATTATTTGTTTAGATTATTACAATCTATGTGTGTCAATAATATTTAGACAAGAAAAGAAGAAAGACACAAACGGATTTTAAACGATTCCTTGTATATTGTTATTTCCAATTTATTTCAAACGTAATACATCTAGTTATTTTAAATACATTCAATCTAATGTGATTCTTGTCAACGGAGTCTAGCCTAATGAAAATGTCATTGATTTGCAGACTAGTGGTCTCACATTCGAACCACCTCATTGAACCTTGATAGTGTGTGTGTATGAGAAACCCCTATCTTCCTGTAATTTGGACTATCGCTTGTATTAAAAAATCTAACGTGATTCTTATTTCTTAATTTTGTAGCAAATTTAAAATCATTTTGTTCAAATCCCTTCATGTAAACGAAGCATTAATCATTTCTTCGTATTGGGGGAAGTCTAAGAATGATGTTTTTCTTAAATTA